TTGTATAAATTATATGATGGTAAGCAGTTGTCAAAGAGTAGATCAATTACAGCTGTAGAAAAAAATCAAAGATAAAGACAGCTGCCTTGATGGATATGGTACCCAATGCGGTTCAAGAAAATTCTTAAAAGAGAAATAATTTGCTTTTTGTCTTTAAAAAGTATGGTCTTAAGCAGGCCTAAGTCTTCTAGGGTGTACCCAGTTCTAGAAACTGAGATATGAAAGCTAGGAGCTAAATGGCACCTTAAACCTAGGTTATGGACACAACAACAGAATGTCTAGGTGTGCTTTTTTATAACAAGAATACAAAACTGATGGATGTGGTTTAGAAAATGTATGTAGGGCCTCTCTTCCCTCTTCCCTCTCCTCTCTCCCCTCTCCTTTAGTTTTTAGAGCAGTTAACATTAGAGATGAGACTACTGGAAGTGGCAGAAACAACATTTCTGATCGGATAGTGGAGCTCCCAGGCTTTTAACAAACATTACAAAAGGATAATTCATCAATCTTGAGAGTTCCATAGTTGGTATGATAGCATAGAGATAGCTTTTGCTTGGTAACCAGTGTGAAAAACTGATTTCTATACTCAACCAGGACAGGTCCCCAAGTAATGTTTGATGTTGGGAAACACTAAAATGCAAGCTAAATTTCCTAAAAATACTCTGAATTATCAAGCCTCATCCCTTTGAGAATGAATGTGCTAAACTTCTGTTTAGCAGGAAAGGTATGTTTGACTTTGAAGGAGTGCCTGCCTTCAAGAAGATAAGTTATTTTTCACTCTTCTTTTCAATATTGGTGACCAATATTAATATTTCCACTAATGCTAAAAGACACACACACTTGGTAGGTGATATGATTGGAGAACAGGGCCATTCCTGCAGATTGTTGTTCAACCCCCAGTATGATATCTGGAAAATATTAAATGTATTGACAGGGTTTTCCTCATTGTTCACCTTTCTTGAACCCATATAAATGGTTCATGGGAGGTGTATATGAGAAAATGGACAACAGGGTGTAAGTGAAGTGTCCTCGGGGAGTAGAGAGACAGATTTGGTGGCTGCAGGACTTGTTTGCATCACAGGTGCAGTATTTAATTCAGTGAATATAAAGATCCTGACCAACAAGCACTTCAGAATATAAACCCAAGTTAAGGTCATTCAGGAGTCCACAGTTGAGTCACTAAGTGAATTGGCTCAAGGCATTTGGACTGTAGAAAGGCTTTTCTTTAAAATGGAAGAAAATTATTCATGATTCAGTTCTTGTTATCTTTGGAAAACAGTGTGTCCTGGGCTATTGCATGTAAAGGATTATTTAGAAATAGATTGATGCAGCTGGCTCAGTACCATATCTTCTGGGTCATTCCATATCAAGTGATCCAACTTTTTTTACCTCATGTCATCCAATTTTCTTAATTTTTTGTACACTTATTGAATGATCAAAACTAAGTTTACATCTAAAATTTTCATTATTTATCTCATCCTGTTTGTGGGCTATAAGGGTTTGAAATTTCCAAAATGACAATTTTGGCCTTGTTGGACTACACATAAACCTTAAAAGCTCAGTCTGTAATTGAGATACATCAAAACCAAAAACATCAATCTTTTCACATCTTCATGGGCTTTAATACAATATATCACATGATGGACTTACTTTAAAATTTCAATTACAAAATTGAAAATTTTTAAAAGTGAATAAAAATGATTTAAAATTTCCAAAAAATTGTATTGGCTATTTAATATTTCTAAGAGCTACCTGCAAAATTTCATCTTGGGATCTCAGTGGGATCACGTAATACAATATTGTACATTCACCTCTGCCTCTCTTAGCTGTTGGAAAAGATTTGAGACCTTCATGCAGCATTTAAAATTAATCTATCGTGTATTAAATGTAAATACCCTTTTAGCATGTTAAATTGAATCTCAGTTGATTTAGGCCAGAACAAGATTTTCTGGAAAAAAATTCAATTCAGAATATTCTAGAAAACTCATCACTGAGTGGATTTGTCTAATGAGGTAGAGGCATTGTTACTGCATGAAGCCTGGAATTTGACTAGTCAGGACTGGAGGAATCCCAGTCCATTATGGCAAGTGAATATCTGCTGCTTGAACACTTCTTCCTTTGTCCCAACATTGTTCTTTTGGCCCAGGTCTAACAGGAGGTTGTAAAAATTATTGTGGTTTCAAACTTTTGTGACACCGTCACCATCAATGGCACAGAAGTCGTAGACTATTCCCTTCAAAAAAATTGAGCCTGATTTGTGCCATGATGGTTGTGGTGGTATAGGGAGGTTTGGTGGTGGCACTTGTACAACTGGGAGAAAATAAATAGTAGTGATTCTCTGGTTGATGAGCCTGTGTGTGCCTTGGAGCTTAGTGTGTCATCTAGTACCCTTGAGTACTGCTACTCATTCTGCCTTTTGATCCAAAGCAATACAATGTTTAGAGAGAGAAGCCAAGCAAAATTTGAGCTCTGAATGTGTATTTCCTTGATGGAGTTTCTTTTAACAAGGTGCTGGAAAGCATTTCTGTCAACCTGAACAACTGTTACATTACAATTTTCTGGATAGCTTCTGGGCAGATAAATCATTTATGATATTTACTGCATACCCATTTTCACATGGTAAAAATGCTACAAGAAGGCAATACTTTCAGTGCCACTTCTTTTTTCAAAGTGGGAATATAGCACTAGGAACATAGGGAGCTTCCTTTTATACTGAATCAGACTGTTGGTTCATGCAGCGCAACATTAAAGGTAAAGGGACCCCTGATCGTTAGGTCCAGTTGCAGGCGACTCTTAAGGTTGCGGCGCTCATCTCGCTTTACAGGCTGAGGGAGTCAGCGTACAGCTTCCAGGTCATGTGGCCAGTATGACTAAGCCACTTCTGGCAAACCAGAGCAGCACACGGAAACGCCATTTACCTTCCCGCCATTTACCTTACCCATTGATCTACTTGCACTTTGACGTGCTTTCAAACTGCTAGGTTGGCAGGAGCAGGGACCGAGCAATGGGAGCTCACCCCGTCGCGGGGATTTCGAACTGCCGACCTTCTGATCGGCAAGCCCTAGGCTCTGTGGTTTAACCCACAGCACCACCCGCGTCCCATTGTCTGACAGTAATTATACACATGGGATTGAGCTTATCAGGAAAAAGGAATTGGAAAACTGGATAATCTTAAGTAAAAAACTAGGTAATATGAATTAATTAGATAGAACAGTAGTGTTTATCTGCTGATGTATAAAAAAACAAGTTCCAACTTTGCTTCAGGATGGGAACAGAAATCGTGCAGCGGCTGCAGCGGGAGACCCCATTATAGCTAAAGTGGTGATTTAGGTTAAGAACAGTTTCAGGTTAAGAACAAACCTCCAGAACCTAACCCGAGGTTCCACTGTATAGGATTGTGGTAAGGTGTCTAATCATATTGTACTATTGGGTAGTCTGTTAGGGGCCTGGCTTCTATCAAAATATGACTAATTAGGATCATTGAGGGTTGTTGTAACCTTTTGTGGTCAAATTAAGGCTTTTCTGCAACTTGAGGCCCAGAAAGTTTAGGGTTCCCAGAAGATTGCTGCTTCACCTTAACCCAGCAATTTATTCTGGGTAAAGTGCATGCTTGGAGCTCCCCCATCTGGAATTGTTTCCTCATTTATTTCATTGGAGATTGCTGTCCTAAAAATAATTCCCTTATACAGCACATGGAACATAAGATCTGGTTGCAAGTTTATTCCTAGGTACACTGGCTGCATTGGTTTTTTAAAAAATTGGATGAACCATTGTTAATGGAGTTCCCTTCATGAAATCCTGTATCTTCTTAAAAGGAAAAAAATCTATGTCAGCTATGATTTCATTATTTTAAAGTACAGTGGTACCTTGGGTTACAAACACTTCGGGTTACAAACACTTCGGGTTATAAACTTTGCGCCAGGATGAGAACGCAAATCGTGCGCCGGCAGTGGGAGGCCCCATTAGCAAAAGCGTGCCTCTAGTTAAGAATGGTTTCGGGTCAAGAACGGAGCTCCGGAACAAATTAAGTTCATAACCCGAGTTATCACTGTATTGCTTATATTAATTGTGCTGCAGTAGTATGGTTGACCAGGGTTTCTATTGTGGTGATCTAAGCACAAGATAGAAACCACCATACAAATAAGCCAGCTGCAAGTGGAACTCTTCTTTGCATGCAAAGGAGTTTTCTTTGTGGATAGGTTAAGAAAAATTCATTGCATTGCATTTTAGCACACTGATGAATATCTAAGATGGGGTCTACCACCTATAAAATTAACACTTACTGTTTTAGACTATGCATCAAAAATCACTGGTGCTTGCCAACACCACCCACCCACCCACATACACACCACACCCACATATCCTAGGCATGGATCCTTGTGGATCCATCTTTGATATGTACGTAGTATGACAGCAAAACCACTTACAAATCATATAATACTTCACTGTACAGAAGCGTTGTAGTTTTGAGGGGGCCCTTTAAAATTAAGAATTCACAAGGGTCTGTATTGTGCCATGGAAGGTCTGGAAAGCTCCAGCTCCATTAAAAAAATGGTTTAGCCAATGGAAACAGGATCTGTGATTTGGTGGTGAACATTTGGGGGGGAAAGGCAATTTCAAGAGGATCTGTTTCTAGATCCAACTTGTCTGTGTATTCTGTCTGGCACTCGTTTTCTCTTTTATGTAACCCCCTGATTGCTCCATTTTTTCCTCTCTTGCAATCTGTTATGTCCCCTTCTTCTACTCCACTGCTCCACTTTCTATTAAACTGCCAGTCTGAGCCATGTGTGCCTGACACCTGTGGACCCAGATCTAAGAATTCCATTCCTGAAGTTGGGTCACTTAATTCAGGAGAACTTGCTTCCAGGAACGTGTGTCTCAAATGTGTTACCTGGCACTTATATTTGTAACTAAAGAAAGGTGAGCAGGTGGAATGCTTTAAAAGAAATGAACAAGTATTATCTCTGCAAATTAATGTAAAGCTATTTTTTCCCCTTCTGCAGGCTAAAGAAATCTTGACAAAAGAATCAAATGTGCAAGAAGTACGGTGTCCAGTCACAGTTTGTGGAGATGTCCATGGACAATTTCATGATCTCATGGAACTTTTCAGAATTGGAGGAAAATCACCAGACACAAATTACTTATTTATGGGGGATTATGTTGACAGGGGATATTACTCCGTTGAAACCGTAACACTTCTGGTAGCTCTCAAGGTAATATTTTAAAATGAATGTTGGTATTGAAATATATAATGCCTGTATAGTCTGAATTGCTGTAAGACTTACAGTACTAATGAACATTATAATGACTGAGTCATTGGGGTTGGAGGTTCTACACTAATGAAAAAATGATGTTGGAGGCAACACAATTGTATTGCCCAAAGAGACTACATATTAAATGGTTTGCTTTAGAGATCTGTTCAATCTTCCAGTGTTCTTGGGTCTGTATCTCCATCAGAAGTGGATAGAGAAGTTCATTCCAGACCTGAAAAAGAATCTATCTCCAAGTTTAACTTTGGGATTTATCCTGCAAAAATATACTATACCACAGAAAATATACCACAAAATTAAATATGTTTTATTAAAATGTGATGTCTGTATTAAGATGTTTTTGAGTGGCTGGGGCAACCTATTTGGATGGGCAGGGTACAGATATGATGATGATGATGATGATAATGATAATGATGATAATGATAATGATAATAATAATAATAATAATAATAATAATAAAATTATAAAAAATATCTCCATAAGTTACGGCTTACTTCTGCTCATAGAAATGCTGGAGAAGTACATACTTGGTTTAGTCACAGTAGCTATCTTGTTTTATAGGTCCGTTATCGTGAACGTATCACTATTCTTCGAGGGAACCATGAAAGCAGACAGATCACACAAGTATATGGCTTCTATGATGAATGTTTAAGGAAATATGGAAATGCAAATGTCTGGAAATACTTCACAGACCTTTTTGACTATCTTCCTCTAACTGCCTTGGTGGACGGACAGGTATGTTGAAAATACTGATGTGTTCCTAATATTAGCAGAGAAGGAAGGTGGAGTAGAAGATCTGTTACCTTTTTATCAGATTTTCTTCCTAGAGAAACTATCTGTAACTTTGAAAAACACTTGTAGCTATAGTATTTGGATCTAATTCATGTCCCAACAAATGAATTTATCTTTCAGATTTTCTGTCTACATGGAGGTCTTTCCCCATCTATAGATACACTGGATCACATCAGAGCACTTGATCGTCTGCAAGAAGTTCCACATGAGGTAACTATAATTTGTGTTACAATTTCTGTGCTGTGTTAGTGTGTGAAATCATACTAATGCCCAATTCCTCTTCTGCGTTATAAGGGAGTCTATTGTTAAAGTAAACCTTATTTTTCCACATGACCTCTAACTCCAAAAATGTTTGCACTGCTTGTCCTGTTCCCTTATCCAAACAATAAAACTATAAACAGCACTTAAATCTTAGTTAAAAGGTGGAAATTTGTTTCCTAATTACAAATGACACATCTCCAAGTAGATTGTTCTTCAACTTAAGAGTAGGCAAACTAGGGGTCCACATAACTCTTAAAAGCTGGGAGGACCATCTTTTGCACCGAATAACATCTGCATCACCAATTCTGTGTTCGGATGCTGCAGAGTATAATCTTGTTTTTGCCTAGCACTGATGTCAGTTTGGGAACGTAGTGTTGAGCATGCTTCTTTCACCCATGGAGCTCAGTGCAGGTGGTTTGGGAAACAAATAAATTGGTTCAAAGTACCATGTTAATGTAGTCATTCAGCTACTCTTCAAACATTTCTTCTTAAAAATTTGGGGCTGTGTTAGCCCTCTTCAGGTTTTTTTTTTGGCTGCGTAATGATGCTGAAATGTTTCCTAGGGTCCAATGTGTGATTTGCTGTGGTCAGACCCAGATGATCGTGGCGGCTGGGGCATTTCTCCTCGAGGTGCTGGTTATACTTTTGGACAAGATATTTCAGAAACCTTCAACCATGCTAATGGCCTTACACTGGTCTCAAGAGCTCATCAGTTGGTAATGGAGGTAAGCCCCAGACTTTTTATGTTGTTTCCTTTCTTGAGGTGAAAATCTCCCTGCATAACCAGATAGCTTTGGCATGCAAATAAAGACATGTTAAGCCTGTGGTGGCAAAGTAACTTGTATATCTTGTCCTTTTGTTAAAAAATGAGCTTGCAGGATAGACTTGAAGGCATAATTAATTCCATGAAAATGGCTTGTGATTCTGTTATTCCACTGTAAGTGACTCCTGTCACCTAGACCTGTATTTTACTGTGTCATTCCATGACAAATTACTGCAGTACAAATGTTTAAACTCTGACACTAGGATTTTATATACTAAATATTTTTCAGGGGGTGGTGTGGGGTAAGAAGTTCTGCCATCTACTGACTGACCTCTTTTATTCATATTCAACCCTAAGGGCTTTCTATCTCTACAGATGGACAGCTAAGGCTGACATTGATCAGTTTCATTAGGAAGAAGCCGTTGTTGATTGGTATTGCTGGTTTATTATATGTAGAAGCTTCCAGGTTTAATTCCTGTTAACTCTAGTTAAAAAGGTATTTGATAGAATGATTGGGAAGGCCTGAGATCCTGGAGAGCAGCTTCTTCAAAGCAGATAACAACGGGTTAGATCAATTTATATGATTTTGTATAGGAAGTACCTATGTTGTCAGTTCTTACATGAATGGCTAAAAGTGGTAATTTAGAGTAATAAATAGTTTATCTTATTCAGATGCTCTGTCCACTATAGGTTACTACCCTCCCCGTAGAGAGACATGTTACAATGATGTGCATCTGTGTGCTTTCCCCCCCCCCCCTCCTCAGGGTTACAATTGGTGTCATGATCGGAATGTAGTAACCATTTTCAGTGCTCCAAATTATTGCTACCGGTGTGGTAACCAAGCTGCAATCATGGAACTTGATGATACTCTAAAATATTCATTGTAAGTGCTTAAAGAATTTTCCTATGAGAACTAACAAAACATGTCATTTATAATTCTAGTTAGAATGCTGTTCATAAATTGCCTTATCTGGCTGTTTGAAGATGAGTAAAGGTGACAAATCTTACCTGATTGTATTCTTGGAAAAATGTGGGTGGTTGTGGAATACTGTGTGTGGGCTTTTTTGGTTAGAATTTGCTTTACTATATAATTGTAACTGCTAATTTGTAGTAATAATTTATAATAATAATAATTTATTATTTATACCCCGCCCATCTGGCTGGGTTTCCCCAGCCACTCTCGGTGACTCCCAGCAGATTAAAAACAGAATAAAACATCAGATATTAAAAACTTGCCTAAAAGGCTTCTGATAGAGTATAAAATTAACCTTATGGGTAACAAATTGTAATACTGGGCACCTGATGCTGCTTCTTCTTCTTATATTTATTGTTATTATTAAATTATTACTACTTGCTCTTCACCCTAAAGTCCCAATGATTCCGGAAGTTGCTTTGGGAGTTTACTAATAGCTTCTCTTGGTTGTCAGTTTTGGGGGAAGTAAAGCTGAATTCCTCTATTTAAAATGGTATTTGAAGAGATGTTTGCTTTTGTTCTTTGCAACAGTATGCATTCTCTAATTTATCCTTAAGATGCAGCAAGATTTTCTTTTGAGCAAAGGATCTGTATGCTTATCACTGTCACCTTCCTTAGCCCATAAGACACTAGGGTGGGCTGCATAGATTTTTAATTGAACTCCTAGATGAATGGCAGGCTCTTCCTCTATAATTTCATCTTTCTGCAGTCTATATCAAGGTTTAGCTCTGGAAATTGCAATGCTTCTGAAGTTTGTATTTTAAATTTATATCTTGCTGTTCCTCCCAAAGGAGCACAGTTAAATATTCAAGTGCTATGTCAGTTTTACACTGATCCTCCATTTGTATTGATCTAAAGGAAGAGCTTGGTAGAATATAACTACAAGTTAATACTGATGGATATTACATGCATTCTAGAGATGGCTGATGTCTTCTACATCTAGAAGTGTAAGGGAAAAACAGCCACAATCTTGATCGCAGAATGAATTGGAATAATGTAGAGAATTTAAAAGCTATGGCTGATATCTAATGTTATCCCTGAGTAGTCAAATTCTGTGGATGTAAGTCTACTGATTTCAGTGGGTCTGCTGTGTTTTAGTTGGATATCATAAACCACATAAATATTAAAAGTGTTGGGTTTTTTTCAGTTTGCAGTTTGATCCAGCGCCACGCAGAGGTGAACCACATGTTACTCGTCGCACCCCAGACTACTTCCTGTAACGAGATTTTACACTTGTACAGTATTGCCATGAACCATGTGTTGACCTAAAGGATATGGGAAGAGCAACAGTAACTCCAAAATGTCAGAAAACATTTAACATTGAAACCTGTTTTCACATGGACCAAAAGATGTGCCATATTGAAATACAAAGCCTCTTGTCTGTCAGCGACTGTGACCACTTTAGAATGAACCAGTTCATTGCATGCTGAAGCAACACTGTTGGTCAAGAAACCAGTTTCTGGCATAGCTCTACTTGTAGTTACTTTTGCTTTCTCTGGGAGACTGCAAATATTAAGATGTAGACATTTAACACCTTGTGAAAACAATTAACTTTCCATTTAGCTATAGCTTTCCAGCATGACTGTAGATAAGGATAGCAAACTATCATTGAAGCTTAATGAACATTTTAAATAAGTACCAAGACTGATTTTCTTATTTGTGTTCTGATTTTTTTCCAGGGAAAACTGTTTAATTTAATTGTATGGTTGTTTTGTCTGCACTTGGTTCCCCCACATTCTTCCCTCACACTTCCCTCTATATAATGTCCCGTGTACTTGTCCATCATAGTGAGTTATTTTGAACAGAACAGGTTTTTTTCTGTAAGATGTTGCTGCAGAAGAGTGTTGCAGCATTTTTTCATAATAAACTTGTGAACTAATAATGGAAGATAGTTGACTTTTAAATATATTGCAGGTTCATACCATGTTGTGTTTAATAAAAAGTAGCTTTTATGTCTCTTTGAACCTATGCAGAATCCAGATTATGCTGAATGAAGTCAGGAGCAATGTACTGGGAGTCGATGTTCAGATAATAAATTCACTTAATTTTTCTCAGAGAGCAAATGCATGTGAAAAGAGGTCCTACATTTTGATAGCAATATGGCTTTGAGTTGTTATTCACCTATTAGCATTTTTTCACTTTATTTATTAAATTACGTTTATAAAATTGTCATTTTAACAGAAAGACTGTCTAATATTTCATTCTAGCCCTTTCAGTTGGAAGAAACTTCTAGGATTACTAACTTGCATTTAAACCTTGTTTTGAACAGGCTGTAGATGATGTCCAATGAAGTCATATTTGGAGTATAACCATTGAAATAAGTAGGCTTAAGTTCATTGATTTCAATGAGTCTGCTCTATGACTAGGATTGGATATCACACTACAGTCTTAAATGACCATAATATATTTTCAGTACTGATTCTGTTGAAATCTACTTTGTAAGCAAAAGAATAGCAGTAGCCTTGACTATGCCTACTGTTACGCAGCCAGTAAGAGGAAAGAGAGAAATTTAAACTTGTAAAATGAAGGCCAGGGTGTCATTCAGTATGGCCCTCAGTCACTTTTGTCTCTATGTAGCTGCACTTCATGCACTGTAGTAATTCTCATTTCTTTGAGGGTGGAGGTGAGGAACAAGTTCCTAATACTGAGGACTGAATACTGCACTATGTCAGTGGATTAAATTTACTTCCTGATCTTACCATAGTCCAAGCACTTGAGCAATTTGGGTTCCATACAGCACATGGGTTTCAAAGGGAACAATGTTTCCATTCTTTACTAAGATGGAAGATTAATTCTTGCTAAAACGTTAGTACTGCACTTTAGTTGTGAGTAACGGTGAAGCTTCCTGAGACTATCCTAGTATAACATGGGGAGAGCAGCAACTCCAGTACAGTGGTACCTTGGTTCTTGAACGGCTTGGCTCCCGAACAAATTGGAACCCAAATGCCACAAACCCGGAAGTAAGCGTTCCGTTTTTTTGGAACACGAACATCCGATGTGGTTTCTGCTTGACTGCAGGAAGCTCCTGCAGCCAATCAGAAGCTGGGCCTTAATTTTCTGACGGTTTCGGGAGTCAAACAGACTCCCGGAACGGATTAAGTTTGAGAACCAATGTACCATTGTATTGCATTTGAAGCACATCTGGCTACTCCCACTGAAACTGCCCACAGTGATTTTGAAGTCCTGTGTCCTGAACAAAATGGTTGGGCAAGCTGTCAGCTGAAGGTCCCGTGTGTGGCGATTATGGGGTCAGGGCCTCATGTGAATCACACAAACAAGAGTATTTGTTACTTTGTTCCTGTGCTGTATTTATCACAGCTGAGTTTCCAGGTGGTTACTGCTGTTATTAAGTTTCTATACCTTATTCTGAGGATCACAGTGCAGTTTACAATACAAAAACACAGGTTTCTTTTAAATCACAAAAATAGATAATATAGTAAGAAAAACAATACCCCCACAGTATTATTAGAAATGCTGTTCAGATTCTCACGATTATATCAAGCAACAGCTGCATAGCTGCTCCCCCCCTTTTTTTTGGTGCAGATGGGAAAGAGGCTATTTGTAAAAAGACAAAACTACTGTAATTGCATGGTTAAGGAACAGAAGTCCAAAAGACAGCTGCAAAATATCAGTCCTGCAGGTTTATTATAAAAACTTTTGGCATGGTATTTAATAGCAGCATACTTGGTTTATAATAATAAATCTCAGCATACTTGGATTGCTATAAAAGAGCATGAATTGTGGCTTCAGTACATAAGAAAATATCTTGCATATATTAAAAGGTAACCAATTTGATGTTAATTTAGCTGTAAAGCACTGAGCTGAGTTATCCAAAAGCAGCTTGCTCCATTTTCTTAATTCCAAGCAGTGGGATTTCCTTGAAAAACAGCCCTTACTATTGTTAATTGCTTGCTTCAGCTAAAGCTGCTATAAGGTTTGAACACAAAGGGGACTCAACAAGTTTTCAGGTGTATTTTATTACAGTCATCTTTTTGTGTGTGTACATATATACAATAGACATGTTTTAAGGAGGACTGTGTATATGGAATGTGCTGCTAGTTACAAAAACAAGAAAGTTAGAAACATGCAAAACTGTCTATGTGATAATCGGTTATGTGTGTATAAACTCCATGAATATCCTGTATACGAACAGCAAATTCATTCTCTTGTGGATCCTTATATAGACAAAATGATACCATGTAAGAGAGGAATTGGCAGCCTTGAGGTAACACCAAGGTTTTCAAAAGTGCAACCCCCCCCCCAAAAAAAACGCACACCCTGAAACAGCACACTGAAGACCGTTTGCCCTGTGGCCATGGAATGCTGACTGATGGTAGTGGGGAATAGAATGGAATCTCTTGGAAGAGGCCAATAGCTGGCTGGCTAGAAGCCTGAACAAGAGCATACCACATTGAAGTGTTTTGTTGCATTTTCCACTTGTATGCCTTGAAAATGAGACTTGGGGTAAGGTTGGGGCTTGCCAAGGTAGTAGACATGCATACTACTACTACTAGGAATAATAATTTTTTATTTATACCCTGCCCAGTGTGCTGTTAAAAGTAACCATTATGGCAACTATCAAGAATTAAATCCAGTCCCCAGTGGTCAGTTTGCCCACTACTGTACTTCCATTTTGGACTAACAATTTACATAATTTTGAGAACAGCAGAGGCTTATTAATTTTAAATGTCCATACATGGATCTGTGTTTTTAATTCACCCTTAGCAGAGTTAAAATGTCCTTGTGGAAATCCCTATTTTAAAATAATCAGAAAACAAGCTTCAGGAGGCAATATTGCTTGTTCAGGACATAATGTTTACAGATGGGAGTGGCATGTGGAAATATTTTTTTCTGGAAGTCCTCAAATTAAAAGAGCTTGTTCTCTGTTATGTGATTTTACTTTGGATTGCACAGCTGTATGTTTCCTGCTGGAAACTGGCCCTTCCCTGGCAACTACTTGCTCCATAGATGCTGTACTGTATCGTAAACAGCATCCTGTCTGCACAGTGGTGGAGATACCTATAGGATGCCAGCAAACTGGACTTGATCAAGAAAGTGCTCTCCCTTGCAGTGGTTTCCAGCAGCGGGTGTTCAGAAGCATACAGGCTTTAACTGTGGAGGTAGAACATAGCCTGGTCCAGAACATAATGACAAGCCATGAAAGCTGTTATGGATGCTTTTTCTTTCAAATAAAAGTGAGCAGTCAACTTAATCGCACATTTTAAAAGTATGGTTAACATAGAGCTTGGCCTCCTGCTGTTGCTGTTTTGCGTTCTAGAGCTATTGCATTTTGAGATCCCTGACTGATGGTAAATGCATTTTATCCCAACCAGTGGAGTAGTTTTGTAACTTTTATTACTCCACGCTGTTGTAGGTTGGCCCAAAAGGAAATGGGATCACTCTTACGCACAAATAGCCTTCGTTGTATACTGAATGAATGAATAAATTTATTACGGTCATAGACCGTAATATGCAACTAAATTTAGGGCGACTTTGCTTTTAAGTAAAACACAGCGCTGCGAGTCGGATAATAGACTTCTTTACTTAGAAGCCCTGTTGAGTTTATTGGGATTGCAGATTTTCAGTATAACCCTGTTTACTCAGAAGTATAACTTTCGGAGACATTGTTGCAGGGTTAAAACTCCCCATCAACCCGACTCTAACCATTGGCCATGCCGGCTGGGACTGACGAGGGTTTGAGTTGAAAAGGCAGCTGGTGGGTCGCAGGTTCGACTCCTCATATTCAAGGTTTGTCGCCTTACTTGCTTAACGATCACTTTGTGTGCTCGAAGCGATGCTATACTTCTTTCTTACGCGTTCTCGGGACAATGTACGCGAGCGTGTGGCTGCGGCATAGCGTCTGAATTTAAAAACAAGCACCCAAGGTTGGGTCGATGAGTTTTGCTGCCGGAGGATCCAGGGCAAGACGTCCGACCGATCGGAGAACGCAATGCAGCTGGCGGAGCTCATTCACCTCAAAACGCACCAGCCGACGGGAAAGCGGCAAGCGCGCGCAAGACGCAGCAATGTGCGTCCTTGGCGTCCTTCCGCTGACTACGCGCGCCGCCGCCGCCGCCGCCGCCGCCATTGTGAGGCGCCCGTTGCCATGAGATTGTTCCCGACAAAGGCAGCTTCAGCTTTTGCCTGAAGGACCCCCAGAGGCAGTAAACGACGTGTAGGTTAACCATCTCCTCCCCCTCTTACATAGGAGTGGTAGTTTGTGCTCTGCTCTCTCTGCCTCTCTCGCTCTCCCAGTTGGAAGAGGAGACAGTCAGGCCTTGAGGGGGAAGAGCGACATCATATATACAGAGAGAAAGAGATCTCCCTTTCTTTTTGCCGGTCTGCTTTAGTTCAGGCGCTGCAGTGGACAGCCCCGTATTCTGCGAGGGTGGGGGGGCGGAGGCAGCTCCGAGGGGCCCTCGCTTCGATTCGGCCCCGCCCCGCCTTATCCTTATAAGACGCGACGGCCGCGAGCCGCCTTTAGTAGTCTCGCTGGTTTCACTCGGTTGGCGTCGCAGAGGGAGGGGCCGAGAGCCGCTGCTGTTGCTGCCTCACGGTGAGTAAGGGCTAGGCCTGGCCTGCGTCTAGGCCTCGCTCCTTAGTTTGGGGGCGCTGGGGAGTTGAGGCAGGAAGCCGCGGAAGGGAAAAAAGGGAGAGAAGTTAGCAGGCGGGATTGGAAGGCCTCAGCGGAGGGAAGGGCTGAGGGACTTTATTTGCAGGTGGTTGCTAAGGGAGCGGTCTCTTCCTCCTCCTCCTCCTTGCTAAGGGGTGTCTCCGCCACCTGCTCCTCCAGCAGCGGGATTGGAGATTGCTGTGGAAGAAGAGAAGGTAACCCGTAAATTGCCTGGGGACAAGCACCCCCCCCCCACGGCACTTATTTATGCGTCCCACATCTCTGAAGCCAATAAAACAGGCTCTTTTTATCACTCTTTTTCGCCTCTTCTTTCTCCCCCTCCCCCATTTTTAATGTTCGTGCACAATAAAGCATTAACAAAAGAAGGCGGTTTCGTGTGTTGTATTTCCGGAATAGTTCATGTAGGGGCATGAACTATTCTCCTCCCCCCCCCCATGTAGACTTGTATCCCCTCCGCTCTTATGCGAGTACTCGAGAGAAGGGTGGAAATGGGATTTTTTTTTTTATTGTGCCTGTTGTATATGTAGAACTCGCTCCACCGTTTTGCTTGGTTACCCTACCAACAAGAAATGGCGTTATAAACAATATTCTCTCTTACTCCTTTTTTAAATAAAAAGCCTTGAGATTGGGAGTTTAAAAATGATCAGTAACATAAATTGTGTTTCGGTAGACTGATCCGCTAGCTAGGATTAATCACTGTTTACAACCGTTTAGGTATAAAGGCCCCCCCCCCCGATTGAATCTTCTGTTAAATGCAGGGTCAGACTGCTAGTCTGTAAAGAGAAGCTTGTAGAATTTTTGTTTGACAAAGTTATCCTGTGGAAAAGGTCAGGGGGAGCACTTAGTGTGATAGTCTGAGCTCTGAGGCATTGCTCTCCACTACTTCTGACTGCGTACTTTGTAGCAGACGCATACTAAAATATCAGTATAAATTAGTTGTTTTCCAACCCGTTGTACACAAAGCCACAAAAATCAGTTTTTGCATGGTTTCTCTATTGTAACTAGAATTATAGTTAAATAGCTGAAATGGAGAACTGGGAAGAATAACAAAGTTGCGAGAATAATATGCAGTGTCTTTGGTAACCTTGCATTTTGGTAGAAATCAAGGAAAACAACTATTCAAAGATAGTGTAATATATCATGTCTTCTGGCATAAAACCAAACACTTAATGACAAAATGCTTGTTTGCCCCAACAATTCTCCGCTACTCTGTATATTTTTTTTACTGTGCAGTGTACAGTAGTCAGTTGCTAGTCAAGAGCCATACAAAATACTGTCATTCTTTTAAAAAAAATTTCTAATAAACTAGAGCAGCTAAAAGGGCACATTAGAAAATAGACTTGGTAGTAGTAGTCAAACCAAATTGATGCAGCTTCCTGTAACATGATTCACTGTGTATATATGCATACATTGATCTTGAAATTAAAACTTAGCTTGGCCTAGCCTAAAAAGTTTTTTGGAGGGTTATCTTTTAAATATATATTTTCTTCAGGCATACGTAGTGTTGCAAAAGTGTATACTCTTGTTTTCTGTCATTAAATTGCTTAGTGTGTTTGTATGTGACACATTTACTTTTAAAAGAAGCACAAGACCCTAATGTTCATATTTTGGAACTCAAAATCTGATGAAGGTATCTTAATATTCTGGTAATAAACTATGGAAGATAAGCAGCTGGAAAAGATTGTGTGCCATTTAATTTCAGTTTGTGATGCACTTGGCATGAACTCAATGTTATGCAGTGGCTAAGTTGATTGCTGCCAAGATCAGCAGTACTGAGAAGGTACAGTAAACCTATAGAATGGGAGGTTAATGCTGTATGGAGCAGATTTTGGATCTGTGGACTATTAGCCTCCCTCAAGGAAAAAACGCACTGTGCACCAATGCAATTGTATGAGATGAAGGAAATCTTGTCTGCAGTTCTTTCCCCAGAGTCCAATTCTAAAACTGGATTTGTTTGCTATATCAATATCTATGAGTCAGCTTTCTGTGAGAGTTTTTACAAGAAGAGGCTACTAAAGGGTGGTGATGTTCTTTAAAAATGTGCTTACCTAGCTGGTAAACGCACAACTTACTGTACTTTGGGGATAGAGTTTATTTCCAGTAATTTGTCAACAAAATTCTGTTAATGATATTTCTGATGTTACATAGTAAAAATAATAGCCTGTGATTATTGCAACTGGGTTTTTCCAGAAGTCAATTTGAAAGTCAGAAAGGTTAAAACATGGTGAATTTTTTTGAACGCGGTTACTTGGTATCTAGCAACTTTGCAGTTTTCACTTCGTTATAAAAATGAAAGCTTTCTCTTTCCACTGGGTGCTAAAAGCAAAAATGCATTAAGGAGTTGTTTGAAAGTGCAGCATCATATGTTGGAAACTTGCCTAGAACATAGTCTAGAGATAACAGAAGTCAGGACACTGGCTGAGATTCAAGTTTTGGTGAGGTACGCAAGCAGTTCTCCAAATTTGTGACTGAACATGTATTTTAAAAAATAAAAGTGGTGCACAAACAGGTCAGGTTCAATGAAAGCAATTTCATACTGCACTTTCTGTCCAAATGTAACTTGAGATCCCGATTAAATGATACTTTCAATACTTGATTAAATCACCTACTTAGTATTGCATATTCTGGCAACTGAGAAGACATTTTTTAAAAACCAAATGTTGATCTACTGCAAGGGCAAAAGGTGAGCTGCACCCACTTCAAATTTCTTTATAGCCATTAATGTGTGTGGTGATCTTAGCAATCCATTACTTCTGGTCAGCTCCCAAACAGAGACAAAATTTATTTCCCTTTCCGTGTAATCTTATTTTTCAGTAGAAGATGCACTGTGTAACAAAACTGTCCTATAAACAAATTATTTTATTATTAAATTTGTATACCACCTCATTCAAAGATCTGCCCTTTGCAGCATAAAAATAATTTTGTAGCTTTTTTATTATTTAAAATGTAGCTAACATTAACTATACTTTTCTACCATAGATGCCTTCAATTAAACTGCAGAGTTCTGATGGAGAAATATTTGAGGTTGACGTTGAAATTGCAAAGCAGTCTGTAACCATCAAGACAATGTTAGAAGGTAAGGGAAGTATGAAGATATGTAACTTGGAATAGTGGTCTGAAGATGGTTGCTGCATACCAGGAATAGATTTATTCTTAGCTTAACATGAAGTAACTATGGGAATCATACCTGGAAATCTTGAGATACATAAAGGTAAATCTATTTAGGCCATACAATATTTCAGCCACTGTGCATTGTGCACATGAGTGCAACTAACACTTTTTTTCTTTTCCCACAAGTGCTACATAGAAAGTCCCTCGGGGGTTTCATGCTGGAGGTGGGCGTGGCCAATATGAATACATACAGCACCTCCCTATGCACACAGACTTTCACTGCATATAACAGCCCCCACACAGAGCACATTCACTTACCACACATGCAGGTGCACAGCTCCCTTCTCTCTCACACCCTTCACTCACTCCTTTTGTCTTTCTGAAGATAAGAGACGGTTTCCTCATTTCCTTGCTATTATACAGATGGTAGGAAAGTTCCTCTCTTGATTTCTGTGGGGGGTCACTGAAGAGTAAAAGTGCAATGGCTTTAAAGTCTGAGCAGTTTCTTTTACGATTTTGAAGTAAAGCAGCTGTTCGCAGGCACTACCACATTAGTCATGGCTACCATGAAATGGCAGTCACTTACCTTCCACCTTCAGGGCACTTGAAGCAAATGTGGCCATTTGGTTGGATTCTTCAACTTCTAAACAGAGCTTTTGAATGCAGACTTCTGTTTATGCATTGGTTCAAAAGCTGTTATGAAGATGGGTGACGTATGTTTCAGCTAAATTCTTAAAGGGATTCCCACATGCAGTAAAATATGAAATTAAACCTTACTAATCGTTCAGAGGCAATCTTCTATGTCAAATTAGATTGATTGAACTAGGGAGCGGATCTTCAAAGGAATGGAAGAACAGTCATAGGAATACGAGACATTAAAACTGGATGCCACATATCTGATAGAGCTTGAGGAGGATCATGTTTTTAGCCAGGACTGGAACTGTATATGTACTCAGGAGTGTATCATGGAGGTATTTCAAAGCTCAGCATGGCATATTTTTCAACACTTAATAACAAAGCTTTTGTTTAGGACGTAGTGGATGTTCACCATGCCTGTTCCTGTTATGGCTGAGCCTTTGTAAAGTGATAGTATATATTTGAGTGGGTAGCTAGAATTGTGAGCTGGAAGCAATTAAATTTTGCAGGATGAAAGCTTAATTCTGACTGCCAGCAAATTAAAAGGGAGCCATGGAACTTAACCATATGGCCTTTATGTAAAGTGAATGTTTATAATCCTTAGAAACAGGGACCCAACAGTCTTATGGACTGTTTCCCAATATTTTCTTGTAGCTCTGTTTCCATTTCTGAGTTTTTGGTATTTTTCATATAGAATTTGTATTTTTATATTTCCTCATTGCTGCTAGGTATGTTAGCCCATATAAAGGTACATATCAGAATATGCTAGTAAGACCTGAGCGTCTTGCTATTTCAACATAGTTTTCAAGAGATGCATTCCACTTATCTGGTGTTTTTTTGTGACTCATAAGGGGGAAAGAGCTGGTGTTGCCCAGATAATCTTGGTAATAGGGTAACTAAAAAACGTAGGAAATGTGTTAAAAATTTCTAAAGTATTCTTGAAAGCCCCTGAGCCCCTGAGTTGGCACTGCTGTACCAACATTAATGCCTTGTTATTTTTGCTGCTATTTTAGGGCAGTACACAGTTGCTGTAAAACAGATAAATCCATCAAGTAATGGCGCAGCTTAACATCTGTCTTTTAATAATCAGTGGTTCACATTGATCTATTACTTCTTAAGCTCTTACTCTAACCAAATGCTTATGACCTGCTATCTGAAGTTACCACAAAATTGAACATGTGGGCCCCCCCCCCCAAGATCATGCTCATGTGATTATCTTCTAGATTTTAGATTGCATTAATCATGATTGGGACATTGTGTCAGCCATTGCTCCATGTGCTTAAAAATGTTTGGTTTGACTCAATAGAGCATAAAGATGCTGCATGTGTATCCATGTTGATGTGAGTTTTGAGATGTGTTTAGATAATTACAAGCATCTTGGAAAACTTAAAAAAAAGATTTTATTTACTTCATAGCAGTCAGCTCTCTGTTAAGTTCTAATATGGCAATTATGCATTGATAAAAGTACTTCACAAGCTAAACAGCAGCTCTGATTTTACCAAAGGCCATGCCATATTTCCTGAAGTGGAAACTGTTAATGGGGGTGGGGGGGGGGAGGGGCCATACTCTGAATGAAGTACAGTATTGGGTTCATTGGTGTAGATAAGAGCTTTAAGAGGTACTTCTGTATTGGCTACTATGCACAAATGGAAAGAGCAACAGAAGGCCGAGGTTCTTCTTTTGTGCACAGCTCATTTTATGCTATGAAAGGGGAGTGAACATTGAGGAAGGGCTTAAAGGGCTATTTGTACGTGTGCTGATTTGCCTGGGGAAAATCAGTCTTTTTGTGGTTGGAGTGCTTAGGATCAGGGACCTAGGTTGTGAATCAGAAACTAGACCAAATGGAATCCTTGGGGCTCCTTACAGTTTATGCAGTATGTTATCCTTGTGGTGGTGAATGTTCACACAGTCCATGTGTGCTAGGAGCTGGGGAAGGAGAGGCAGATCAGAACAGAGGAACATATATTTTTTTACAGTCTGATGATATACATTCTTGTAAGTTCCATGGAGTCCTTCCATGTGGATTTACTTCTGTGTTGTGGGTACAGGTTGATGCATTTATTGGTATTATACACATACATTGACTCTTTCTGCCTGGGAGTCGAAGAAGCAGAAGTTCATGTCCACCAGTTGGTCTGTTAGTGTCAACTGCGAAGGACCTTTGTAAACCCACTGTTTCTTGCTAAGGTAGCAACGTCTGTCAACATGGCTGCTGCAGCAGCAATAGACAAAATGGCTTATTGGCTGAGGACTGTGTGAATTCCATGAGTGAGGAAGTAGAGTAGAAGACAAGGTTCTTCCCTTCCCTACCAGACAAAACACAAGATAGTGGCAAAGGCAAACAACTTAAGACTACAGTTCTGTGCACATTGAACTAGAATGCTTGCTTCATATATGCATATGATCAGACTATGGGGAATTTACCAGCCAAAATATCATCTGCAGGTCTCTCAAATTACTAGTCAAGTAAGTCAGCATTTCCATCAGTTGCTTAGAGAGAGAGTGAATATTAATTTCTTGGAAATCTTCAAGAAAAGATTAGATGGCCTGACCATCTGTTTTAATACTTCAGCTAGGAATATGTCCTCCCTTGAGCAGGAGTTAGGCAATATGGCTAGCATTACTTCTAACAAAATCAGTCTTGAATACAAATGGAATCAATTTATTAATAATTTGCACTGTGTAGCCTGTGCATTTTGCATAAGCTACATGTTGGAAAAGAGTATATTTTAGTAAAGAACAGGATCTGAATGTACCTATATTGCAGTAGAAGGTGCCCTTTAAGAAATGTAGGGGTTCTGGCTATGTAAATTGTCTTTTTTTCTATTTTCAGATTTGGGAATGGATGATGAAGGGGATGATGATCCTGTCCCTCTTCCAAACGTTAATGCAGCTATATTAAAAAAGGTAATGTTGAACATGATTTTTGTTTTGGTAACATGAGCTTTCAGACTCAACCTTGTTGTATGCAGTATAGCCATCTTTTCTGAAAATGGTTCTTCTATTGTGAGAAGTATATCCAGTACTGGGAAAATTAAGTTATATTTTTATTTGGGATAATATAATACTACATTCAGATAGCGCATCCATTTTTATTACAGTAGTTTTATGGTGCATACACACAACCTTTTAGTTGCTATATGTGGCTTAACTGTTCATTTTACATTTCTGTGTCATTCTAAGCAGCCTTCCTTGTTGCCATCTTCCCTATACATGATAGAGTCTATATTTGCATTATTTATAAGTTCTCTGTGAGCAACCTCATATAATTCCAGTTGCATGGAGGGAGGAAGAAGGGCCATTCTTGCTGATCCCACCCCCTCTGTTACCTGTCTTTTACTCAGTTATACTACATACCACCTTTTGGAGGGCAAAGCCTGAAGCAGGAAGCCTCTGCTTCTTCTGGGTAGAGTTTCCTGTGCAGTTTTGAATATTAGAGCTCTGCTGGATCAGGCCAGTGGCCTGCATAGTTCAACATCTGGTTCTCAACAGTAGCCAGCCAGATGCCCATGGGAGGTCTACAGACAGGACCCGAGTACAACAGTGCTTATTTGTGATTCCATGCAAATTTTATTCAGAGGCATACTATCTCTGACAGTGGAGGTAGAAAATAGCCATTGTGGCCTTATCATACATTTAATTTGTCAAATCCTGTTTTAAAAGCCTTTCAAATTGCTAGCTATCACTTCATCTTGTGAAGGTGAATTGTGTAGCTTAACTGTGTGCTGTGTAAATAAATATAGTGGTACCTTGGTTTATGAACTTAATCCGTTCCGGACGTCTGTTCTTAAACCAAAGTGTTCTTAAACCAAGGTGTGCTTTCCCATAGCAGTGGGGGGACTCAATTTACAAGTGGAACACACACAACAGAAAGCGAAACATGTTCTGCTTCCAAGGCAAAGTTCACAAACCAAAACACCTACTTCTGGATTTGCAGCATTCTTAATCCAAGTTGTTCATAAACTAAGCTGTTCTTAAACCAAGGTACCACTGTACCTTATTTTGTCTGGTCCGGATCTTCAAGCATACAGCTTCACTGAATTGCCCCTATTACTAGTAATATGAGAGAGAAAAACTTCTCCCTGCCCACTTTCTCCATACCATGTCTGTCATGTCTCCCCTCCCTTTACCTAACCTTTTCTCTAAACTAAAAAGCCACACAAGTTCCAACCTTTCCTCATAGGGGAGTTAATCCAGCCCCTTGATAATTTTGTTTGCCTTTTTTTGAACCATTTCCAGCTGTACACAATGTTCCAGATGAGGTTGCATCATAGATTTGTATAACAGCATTATGATATTGACTCTTTAAGCATGTATAAATGTTTTAGGATTTAACTGGTTTCAGATAAGGCAGCATTTGTGAGCCAGTCTTTTCAAATTTTCATTCTGTTTGACTTATTTGTTGCTTCTTCCCACTTAATCTTTACAGTAGTTCTGTCAGTTTGAAAGTACTTAATTGGCATCACAAGATTGAAATGTGAGAAAGCAGTTCAGTATTAAGTGTGTGAGATCTTGTTTACAGCATTTGCAGACTGTGTTTTGAGATTATGCTACTGTCAGTTCTTCCCCCCGAAAGGTTTGTATTGAGATAATTATGAGCAGCTGGTGGTATGCTTAAAAATGGCAGGATGTTTAGTTTAAATTAGTAAAATTTCCAGAAAAGATGAATGTTTTAACAGTTCTGTGTTATTGTATTAAGTAGTGGCTGTGCAAAAAGACCTCTGAGCACTGATAAAACTAATTTGCTTGAAGTTTTAAGAGCAAATGTTTATTTTAGACTAAATAAACAAGTATGAAGATCTTTCATAAGCTACTTTACTCTAATTCCTTAAGGTAATCCAGTGGTGCACCCACCATAAAGATGACCCACCTCCCCCTGAGGATGATGAAAACAAAGAGAAACGAACAGATGACATCCCTGTGTGGGACCAAGAATTTCTTAAAGTAGACCAAGGAACTCTCTTTGAACTTATCCTGGTAGGTTGGTTTTGTATATTCAGGTGGTGCCAGGTGTTGTTGTAATGAACTTTGTAGATCAATGGAATATTACATGGTATTATAGAAATTTCTAATACGTTTTGTTTTGGAGAAGTGAGAGCCACCATGTGTTTGCTGGGTCCTTGTCCTTCCTGGCTTATAAGAGTAGCCAGGTGGGAGGAATTGCTGAGTGGGTAAGGGAAAGGTGAACAGCTCTTCAGCAAGATGAAGTTTCAACCTGCCTAAGTGGTAAGACCTTTGCTGAAAAAGCCCTCCCAGAGTCCCACTAGTCTGGATAATTATTAGCCGGTCTCCAATATTCCTTTCTTGGACAAGGTGCTGAAGCATCTGGTGGCTTCTCAGCCTCATGAGTTCTTGGATGAGATTGATTGTCTAGATCCATTTCAGTCTGGATTCAGGCCTGGTTATGGGAAAGAAATGGCTTTGGGTCCCTTGGTGGATGACCTATTCTGGAAGCTGGACAGGGAGAGTGTGCTGGACCTCTCAGTGGCTTTTGATACCATTGACCATGGTATCCTACTATTATGAGACTTGGAGGAACTGTTTTAGGGTGGCTGTGGTCTATCTTGGAGGCCAAGCCCAGATGGTGGTCCTGGGTAAGTCCTGTCCAATATTTTGATTGTTGGCTTGTTGCTTCCATTCTGGAAATATCTGATCTGGCCACTGTGATCCATAGCTTAGCTACATCCCATTTATATCAAGCTTTCTGTGGGTGTGCCATTTTCGAAACTTCTGCAGTTCAGAATGCTGACCAGAGCTGGTTACAGGAAGAACAGAAATTCCTTATGTCAACAGTTCCACTGACTACTGGTTTGTTTCTGGGCACATTTCAAAGTGCTCATTATGACCTATAAAGCCCAATAAAGCTTGTGTCCAGGCTATCTGAAGGACCGTATCTCCCTCTATGAGCCTGCCTGGGTTTGATCTTCAGGGGAAACCTTTATTTTGGTCCTGCATGCATAATAAAGTCGCACTTCAGCAAGTGAACATTACTTCAAGCATACATGTAAACTAGAAGCCTGCAACTAAAGGACAAGGCCAAATTTTTGCTGCTGAATCCATAAATGAAATGAAGTGGCATCTATGACAATACTTGTATGAGTAGGACTCTGTTTTCTTGCTCCTAGGGCCTTTCAAAGCAAACTAGCTGACTGCTATGGCATAAATGTTTAGATTTGGTGTATTATAGATGCATGCTCCATAACTGAATGACCATGTGTTCTGAAAATACTTAATTCAGAGGTGGGGAACTTGTGACCCTTCAGATGTTGTTGGACTATGCCTCCCACATTTCCAGGCCAATGTGGTCAGTAGTCTAGAGTGATTGAAGTTATGAATGGGACATCCTGATGGGACGGTGTGTCTCTGGTCTAGAAAACAATGCACTGACTGCCAGTGAGCTACCAAGCCCAATTCAAGGTGACAGGCTGGTTTAGAAGGCCCTAATCTGATTGGGGCTCAAGTAGCTAAAAATGCATCGCCCCAGTATCAACAATCTTGAACCTTATGATTGACATGTTGATGCTGCTAGATGAGCACTGACCTGGTAGATGAGCCTTCTTGGTAACTGTTCTCCAATGCCCTCCTTGGTGAATTGTTTCTTCCTCATTATTAATATTCAAGAGGAATTTAAAAACATTTATGTTCACCTGGGCATTTGATAGCTGAAATACAATTTGCGGCAACCTTGAAATTAATAGCTGTGATATGTGACTGTTCTTAAGATGTGTGATATATTTTTAATTTCTTAAAATTGTATCATTTTGCTGTTTTATTATTTGCCACCCTAGGCTCCTTGAGTGGAAGGGCAAGATAGAGTTTTAATTGATAACAGTTCAGCACCTGGGGTCCCCCGCCTGGCTTAATTGATGGTCCTTGTAAATGCTAAACAAAAAAGTATCAATAAAGTTATCTTGATTAAACAAAAAACAAAACACAGACATCTTACTATAATATCATGCAAATAAGTAAATTACAATGAAATAGGAAATGTCTTTGTTATTGGCTGTTACTTTATATAAATAAAAACCTGATGGTATAGTATATTTTGGTGGTATTGCATTGAGCACAAGACATTAAATTGGTCTTTTTTCCCTAAAGGCTGCAAACTACTTAGACATCAAAGGCTTACTTGATGTGACGTGCAAGACAGTTGCAAATATGATTAAGGGAAAAACACCAGAAGAAATCCGCAAGACCTTCAATATCAAGAATGACTTCACTGAAGAAGAAGAAGCCCAGGTATGCCATAGTTTCTACCTTGGATTTAGTTGCTCTGCATAAAACAGGATTTGTACTACTCATTTTTTCTTAGTCCTTTGAAGATACATGATCTCATCGGTTGAGCAACAAATCACTGGTGCTGGACTCTGTGTGACATTCTATCCCAATTATTGTAGTCTCACTTAGGATTCTGGGTCTTTGTCATAATGTTCCTCACAAAGATAAAGTACTTGCTCAAAGCTTGTTATGTGAAGCTAAGATGTGCCATATGAGAGACATGCCATGCATGTAGGTTTTCCTTCACACTTTTGTATGGTGCTCCTCCTGCCCACATGCCTGATAAGCCTGTATGGAAATAGCCTCAATAGAAAATAAATACCATTCCCTTGGTTTCAGGCATGAGTACCATTTCCTTTGCTTTGCACACTTTCAGAATCCTTAAGTAATGTAATAAAGGCTGTCTTGATTTTTAGGTACGCAAAGAAAACCAGTGGTGTGAAGAAAAGTGAAGTCTTGTGCCTGACAACTGACACTGTAAGGATCGTTCCAAATACCAGTTGCACTGCTCTGTTTATAACTGTTAATATTAGACAAATGCAGCAGCAAATGAAGTTGTTCTTGTAGGGTGGTGTTCTCTTTGCATGTGTAATATTTGAATATAGATTTAAATCCTTTTGGCTGAGTTTCTACCAGTGTAATCCAATGTCCCCATACTTTTCCTCTGATACCAATAAAACTAAACTAAGTGTGGACTCCGTATGGCAATTCGCACCGCAAGCTAGCCTTTCCATGCTTTTAAATGTGTCACTGTATCATTTAAAATATATAGGATGTCAGAAATTCAGCAACCTCTGGCACTGTAAATAAAATCAATTGCAAAAGTTTTCTGAAACAGAATTAATGAAGCCTGTTTTCATTCACATCCTAATGGCTTCTTAGAACAATGGGAAGTCTTGAAAACCCAGTTGCAATAATTGTTTCTTCAGTTCTACACCTTTCTTTGTTGGGGACAGGTGACAACTGCCACAAACCGTGTTGGTTTTGTTAGCTAAGGGTCAGTTCTCTAGAGGCGTAATGTAGAACTGATTCAGGCAGTTAGAGGTAGACAGGCCCATTTTTGGCAGATAACAAAGATCATGCTTCTTTCTGGAAATCACAGTTTAGTTGCTTAGTCCCCCGAACTAGCAGATTAAATCCCACTGTGTGATCAAAAGAGATTACCAAAGCTAAAATTCCATGGATAGTACATGTTGGTGCTTGCTATGTTAGGCAAGCTGCAGTATTTTCCTGTAGTTTAAAAAAAATTCTTATTCTGTGAAAGTCTTAGTCTGCAGTGTTGTACATGAAGTCAGATTGCAGTGACTTGTCACTGTGCATACGCAGTATGATACTGATGTTGTGCCATTTGATGGTTGTTTAGGAAAAAACCACTTGCAAGTAAGACTGTTTCTTTTTTTCCAGTTTCTACAGTTCCCCTGTAGGAATTAGGATGTTCGTATGTACTAAGCATTGAGGCATCCCCTTGGCTTGTATTGCATTCCATTTTCTGTATACACACTAGAATAGAACAAAACCCTAATAAATATACTTCACTTCAAAGATCAGTGTTGACCTTTGAATGTTCTATACAGAATAAGATACCTGGAGTTAAATGAGGCAGTTAAAATTGAAACATGCATAGCAACCAATGTGCATATTGCTCCACAACTTCACAAGCTGTTAACATGAAATGATTGTATACTTGATAGTGCCAGCTGCCATCTTCAGAAGAAACAGTCGGGAGGGGGAGGGGGAAAGGGGCTGCAAAAGATGGGCTTCAGTTACCAGTACATGAATGCTGAAATATTCTTCAAGTAGTCTTCTTGCTTAAACCCAACCCCAGTGGTTTATCAAAACATCTCCGTTCCTAGTCTTCTATGCCTATAACCCTGTGTCTTTTAAAGTAATCAAACTGCATATGCTCACTTTTCATTTTCCAGGATCAAGTCTCCAATTCCCCTTGCTCAACCAATGAGTCCAGCACTGGATTGCATGAAAAAGTCCAATATTCTACCATTTCTAATTACTGGGATCTACCTCAGGGTGGGGATGGTTGTCTTTTGTGGAAGTCTATGGGAAGGAAGGAACTCAAATGTTCCCATGACTCATGATGATGTTGCTCAAGATGCATGGGTTTTGGAAAGAACCAGCAGTTCCAGGTTAAGGTTAACCCTGGGTCTTGTGAGCATGGCAAGGGGAAAATATGTCAGACAGGGACTGGGGTCAGGGAAATACTTGACACTTCTCCTTCGCCTAGAGTTTCTGGCAAGGTCACTTCTCTTGTCATCCAGATAGTTTTGGTGGAAGGGAGATCTTGAACCCAGAAGCGCAAGAATTGGGCAGTTATCAGAATTCCCAGTGAGGGTTTCAAACACACTTGTTGTCTTCTAGCAGGGGATAATGTCAGAAGTTCCAGCACTTATACTCTCCCTTCAGAATATGAGAGCAAAGGCCACAACTAATCCCCTATCCAGGTTGTGTCTCTTTGAAATTATCCTATAATACGCAATGCAGTGAGTACCTTCTATCCCTTCACTGTTGTCTCATTAAAGAAGTGAGCTACTTCTCTGCATTGTTATCTGTAAACATTGGAGGGGTAAAGAATTGACTAACCAGAGAGTCAAGAAGGTAAGATGATAGAAAACCTGCCTTTGACATGTTGGCAGCATCTCCCTTTAACCTCTAAAGGACTCTGTTGTGCAGAGAGTGGGATTAAGCCAGACATTTTCAGTGTTTCTAGTTCCAGTTAGTGTTGCCGCCTTCTCTTTGGTTGTGAAGAACTTTGATGCCAGTGTGGGTTAGAGAGCATCTAAAAGCCTGGCCATGCAAAGTACTTTTGGATGGTTATGGAGCAAACAATAAATTTGCTCCAGCAGGCTAAAGAATACCCTTTGTACTCTTGTGATATTTCAAGTAGAAAAAAAGTCTACTTGCTGTTGACTGAAGATGATCTATTTGGTATACTGCCTGCTGAAAACATTCTGCAAGGCTAGAAGGGCACAGTTCTGAATATGCTGGGTAGCCTGCACTTTGAGAAAGAGTAGTGTGTGGTGATTGTTTTCTAGCTTAACCGGAGAAGGTGAATACTGTGAAATAGTCACATTAAAATAGTTGCAACTTTGGTCATAAGAGGTGTGCTTAACATTATTATTTTGTGGACTTTGGATTGTGGCTGTTAACACATATTACTCTTAAAGATGATGCCTTAGCATACTGTGTTTTAAATTAAGTTCCAGGAGTTTAATTCAGCTAACTCATTGCATGGGTAGAACAATTTCCACTTGTGCAAAAGAATGTCTCTGCACTTCCCCAGAGACACATGCCCTTCAAACTGTCTCTGGGGAAGTGCAGGGAGGAGAGGTTCCACTTGGTTGGATGCAATCCTTAATTACTACTGCTGAAAAAGGTCTACATCACCATTGCTAAGCAATTGTGTGTTTGCCCCCTTAACGAGACCATGCATCGTTGTAGTCTGACTTTCTTTACTCAGTCTGATCCCATATTTAGAGAGCAGTGATACATCTGGGCAAGATAGAGAAGGTATACCAAGCAAGGGAGCACATAACAGTCCATTTTGTAGAATTATAGTCTCCAGTTGCCTGTTTTTGAATGGGCAATCTGGTAGATTACTTTATTTATAAAGCCATAAACAAATCTTGAACATAAGCCAAAAAATACAAGCTCAAAGTAAAAAAAAATTACAACAGATGATAGCTGAGAGAGCTGCTGCAGAATTTTTTTCCTGCTACATACATACATACAGTGGTTTTAAATGATTTGTTGAAGTGGTCTTTCCATGACTTGTACATTCAAACAGGCTTCAGGAAATCAAATATGTGATTAAAGAACTGAAATTGTCATATATGAATTATAGACTCAAGAGTAAAACATGAAGGGTAAAGCTTTCATTAAAAAAACATATAAATTGTATTGACACACAAGACTTCATATAGCATTTCTAAAGATCTACTTTTTGGCATTTAAGTGACTTTTTTGGGAATCTTTTACTTGCTGTATGGAATATGGATAGTTTGTGCCTTTTGGTAATCCATCATTGTAAACAGTTGCTAAAAACGATGCAGTTGTTCCTAGTTTCATAAATGTTAATCTGCATGCTTATCAACACATTCAGCTCCATTTTTATTAAGTAGCTATGTACACCTAATGGCCCTGAATCTGTACGTATACTGAGATGCAAATCTGCTTGGGCTGTTGTTGCATAGGCAAGGGGACTACACAGAATTTCAGAGTAGATGGGACAGATTTTTTTCTGGAAGGAGAGAAATGTGGCACTAGTTCTTTTGCACAGTCATTAAATTGACTTGTGAGATAGGACTCTATCTTCCCTACTGCTACCTTTCGTTCAGTTCTCAGGTTGCTCGAATGAAAGCAATGCAAGAAATATGAAATCCAATCTACCCTTCCTCCTTCTGATATATTTCTTTATAGACCTTTTCCCGACAGGGCTCAAGGCAGCTTACATATAAAAATGAGAACCGTTAAAAACATAGAAAATGCCATTGTTGAACCACTCCCCAAACTGGGACACAATAACTTACATTAAATGTATTTATTTGTATTTGTTTTATGAAAAAAAGAAAAGGACTAGCATATGATGAAGGCTTGAAATATGTATGCTGTTTGCAGCTGAATGAAAAATGGAATTGTCAATGTGTTTCAGCAGGGGTGCACTCCTTAATCCACACCAAATTTAAGTCTAAATCCGAGGTATGTATTGTTGAATATATTTCTAATATCAAATTGCTAGCTGGCCTTTCACATACATCTTCTCTACCACTTCCCTGCCATGTTGTGGGGAAAATTCAGGACAAGTGTAGAGTATTTATTACGTGTACAAAAGAAAGTTTCTTACAATAAAATTGCACTGACTTGTCAGGAAAAAGCAGCAATGCAAAAGCAAGCTGCAGGTGTCTGGAATGCAAAACACAATGTTGATTTCTAGGACTGTACTATTGGAAAAAGGGGGCAGTCTATTCAGTGTACTGAGCACCGGATGTTAGCTCAGAGTGTCATCTGACCTGTACTGGAAGTGCATGGGTGGAGTCTGAGTGGTCTTCTGCTGGAGACTGGAGGGTACAGACATGTTTCTCTGTACTGCTGGAATGACAGAAATAAAAGAGATGTAAATAGATTTCTGTCTGTCTCTTTCCCCCTCCCTGAGGGAAGCAGGGAGCAGGGAGGAGGGTGTGTCCCTCTCACGTTGAGTGGGATCGCCGATTTGTGACCTTGCCTGTAACCTGCCGGGAGACGCAGCCGGGAAGGTCATCAAGGATCTCGAGCTGAATGCCTGGTGTGAGGCCAGTTACTTCTGACTGCAGTCGAGAATCCTGACATGACTGCAGTTGCAAACTGGTAAATCCTTTTTGCATTGGTAGAATATCTCCTATTTTAAATGTTTCCAAAGCAAAATGTTGGATATATTTCCCCCAAATTTGGAGAAGCAAACACTGCTTTGAATTGGAGGGACCATAGAAAATAATCCCAGCGTGGTCATCTGCTGCAGCCACTGTCTTTATAAAATATATTTAAATTTTCTGATACATTCTCTTACAGATATTGGAGGAAAAGCCTGTCCAGCTCTTTCACTGATTAAAAAGCTCACGATAACAGATGCCTCATGAGGTTCACAGATCTTTTTACTAGATAAGGATGACACACTTTTTCTCAGGGATAAGAGGACTCCCCCAAATATGACTCCCCCATATTGCAAACCGTTTGAGATTTTGTGCCTTTGCTGCAAAACCATATTTTCAAGTAACTTTTTTTCTTCAAGTAATACAACTGAGTGTAATGCAGCTGCTACCTAGATTTGGGCCTTAGATTTCACAGTTTCTCCTTTAGTAGTTGGGTAGGAACATACCAGCTTTTAACTAATGATGATTTTAGCCTATGTTGTGTGTGTATACGCATGCATGTATGTACAAGAGGAAAGGCTTTGCCAGTACAGTAAGGGCAGTGGTGTGCACATATTTTGTATATTAAAAAAATAGGAAAACCTTAACATTTTTTAAAAATAAGAAATCATGATTGTGTGTGGTATATAAATATTTAACCGGAAAATATACTCTCATATACATACTATATTGATCTCAGAAAAATTGAGAGTGAAATTAATTCAGGGTGCAGAGATGGGAGGAAATCAAGAATATTTCAGTTATATAAATGGAACATGTCCACATTACCACATAACACACAAGGGCTTTTTAGATGTGTGCCGCTTTGTGCCAGTGTACTTGTGCTTGCAAAGTTCCACTACAATTAAGCAACATTTTTAAAGATTGTCTAGGAATAGGTTTTGGAATACTAAAAAAAAAAAAAAACCTGTTAAAAAGGGAGGGGGTATACTAGTGCAAACAAGCTTTATATACTGTAGAGCATATTCCAATATGTAGAAAAATAGTTTAGGCCTTTACGTATTTGCTTTAAATACAAAAATAGCTTGGATATTAAAACGGTGCATTCTGGTTATACCACTGCAATAATTGCAATACTGTGCTTTGTGTTCAAAATGCTGCAGGTGAAAAGAAGAGACTTCCTGGTTGTGTTAGTGCACACTTTTTTTCAAACAGCAAAGACAGGTTTGCTAAAAAAAAATGGGAACAACAGTATTTTAGTGAGGTTAATGTGAATATGACTCATGTGACCTAGGTTTTTAAGGCTGTAATCATATATCACCATTATGCTAGTTGAATTCTCAGTGCAGACTGATGGTTAAATTGTTTTGGCAACTTTCTGCCCATGATAATGGTGCCAGTTTGGTCAGGCTAGAGAAGAAGTGTTACAGGAGGAAAAGTGAACATGAGTTTAAGGTTTGCCTGCATTATATTTGTCACTCCTGCCTGAGGCTACATACCTTTTCAGCTTCGTTTGATGCTTTTGGGTTGAATGGAGCATCTCTTGTGTGGTTCAGCTTTGTGTCCACACACTGGAGTAGGTGCTTGCATGCCCCTTGTATACAAGTGGGTTTATATTAAAACTTGCTGAAGTATAACTGTGATGGACATAGGACTCATTGCAAAGTGAGAGAATAATACCACCTGCAAATTTTAGCTATTCCATAATATGCGTTTTCCTATCCTTTCTCCAAGAGGCCACTGTTCCTTTCTGCAGTATTTTAATACACATGGCATTCTGTGTGTGTTTGGGTCCTCCAAGAAAAATAACACACAGGATGTTGCTTGACTGGTATTAGGGCTAATAAGCAGCCATCTTTGCCTAGCACTGGGAATGCAATGGGGACAGGGAGCACATAGCTCCCAAATATCATTTTTTAAAATAAAGATTGCACAATACGCTGAGGTGTTTGAGCAACTAATGTAATGGGACTAGGCTTAGGTTTTACGGCTCTCTGACAGAAATTGTATCGCATACTATTTCTAACAAGCAGGGCTTACATTGCTAAATTTGTAATATATTCCATGATCTGCGTAACAGTGTTTAGTACAGAGTGAGAAAATTCAGCAACATCAGGATCCCTGCATACTTTTCTAGTCCTTAATGGCTGTCAGCAAAGGCTTAACAATGTGTGGTGGCTTAGTCTGGGTAAGCTTTTGGAAGACCAAAAATGTGCTTAGTAAAATTTATAGTGATGCTGTATGTGTCTAGCTTTTCAGTGCCTTTTATCACTCCTTGGCCTGCCCCAATGACTAGCAGATACAGAATAAATCATGCAAAATAAGCATTTATGAATTTTACGTAATTAATGCACATTCAGAGCTCAGTGTCATAGCAGAAAATATTTTTGTTTTTCGTTTGGAATGCAGTAGAATGCCTTTTTTTTTTTTTTTGCAGCTGCAATCCATTGCTGTAATTTACAAAAGCTACAATATGCTATTAGGGAGATGTTCAAAAATACAACATTATTGTTTAGAAAGTGAAAGATGCCTGTGATATAAGCAAAGCATGGCCATAATAAATGCACACTAAGTTTGTACAGAAGCAAAACCAAAAACCCTGCAGAAAGATCCCTGTTTTCCAGAGTGTGTATATAGTGAATGGAAATGGCGTAATAAAAGAATTGTAACTTATTGTTTAAAGGTAGTGACAAGAAAATAATACTTGACAGTTAAAACTTTAAAGGAGCCAGTGCATGCTTCCTTTATCATTTGATAAGTATTCGTTTTCAAGCAGTGGGTATCTCCTCCAAAATGTATTAAGAATACTTTTACCTGGAATCAACATTTCCCCTCACAAGATGAGGTATAATAATTTATTCCATATATTCTCATGCCGGACAGGTCAGCTACTTTACATTGCCCCTATCAAGCAACTAGGCTTGTGTAAAACAAAACCACACTGTTCTTTCAGCTGCTTTGGCATACCTGTGTCATATCTACAAGAGGACTATGATTGAAATGCAAATCTTTGAACGGTAAGAAAGAAAAGAATGCCTAACATTTAGCACCTCTTAGCTACTTTTAGAAATCTGGGTGTCCTATTTCAGTTTTAGCTGGTTTGGTAGACAAAGAAATTCTCAAGTTACTGACCAGAACGGAGTTTTATGTCCTTGTTCCTACTTCTGAAGAGAGACACTGTATGTCCTTACTTACATTATAAAAAGCACTTTCAGTGCTCCGATGTTTTCCAATTATTGACAGCTTTCTCCTGACTTTGAGACTGCCATTTGATGGCACGGTAGGCTTGTCTCTGGCAGCTTCCACAGGTAGTGAAACCACTCATCAAAGTGCCTGATGAATTTGCCGGCCTTGCTGGTCACTGCTGCATGAGTACTACGTTCCTATTGATAGGACACTGTACCCTGAGGATTCGCTGGGTGCTACAGATGTGTGAGACACTGCTGAGCATTTAGAAGTGAGTCCTGATGTGCTTGTAGCAGTTTTGATACACGTAGATGCAGGGAAAGGACTGGCTTGGTTTTGGTGTGTGAAATCGGCAGGGGCAGCAAGCTTGTCTGAAGTAAAAGCAGTGGATATGCACTGCAGCACATCCAAGGGGGAGGGAGGGGAATCTATAGCACTTCCATCGGAAGAAACTGGGCTGGCACAGCGTCCTTCTCCTTGTAGGTACCGAATGCACTTCTTTTTCCTCCTAAGAACAGTGAAGAGAGTTATCTGTAAATAAAGGGTGAATTTACAGGGTCATAGTCTTAAAATGATAGAGTGACAGCAGTCATTACAGTCATTTCTCTGCAGCACACAGCAAAGGCTGAATGAGCGGTGGGAAATAAATGTTTATTCTCGTCAGCTCTCTGCTGCACACTCTTGCCTCAGAAGCATTTTTCTATAATAGACTGACAATTTTCAGTGTTTACCACTGGGTGGCAGTGTAGCTATGGTGCTGCAGCCTGTTTCAGAGTGGACAAAAGTGGAAGCAGATTAGTCTTCTGTGGCATCAGCATACTTGTAAAGGGAGATCAGCAGGTTCTAAGGGTTCTGCTTACGAGTAGCAGCAAAGAAATGGAAAAATTGCAGATGTGAAAAATTTGGTGTGATCAGTTGTATTTGCCATCACTTGCAAAATGCCATGTGAATGCAGCCTGAGTATTTTCCATGACTGAAGAAGTTGGAAAGCTATTGTGCACATCAGCTTCTTAGCTTGCTTGCACGAAATATTGTGCTGCATTGTTAGAAGATGGGTCAAATGGTCATTCCAGTATGACCTTCCCAAAGGGATGTGGCCCTCAAAGACAATAACAGAATTGGGGAGAGGGGAAATTAAGTAAAATGTATTGGGGGGGGGCAAGGATATCTAAATGGGAAGGATCAAATGCTATTGATTATTTTTGTCTACATGCAAATATTCTGTCAAGAGATTGAGTGGGGTAAACAAACATGCCCCACTTGAATTGCATAGATGATGAAGTCACAAATCACTCTTGCCAATTGTCGCAGTTCTGCATATCTCTAGGGTGGAGCCACCAGTGTGATAGTGTGAAAAAACGTCTCTCTGTGTGTGCATGTGTATGTACACACCACAGATCAGTTAGCCTAGGTACTAAAACCAGCAACCAAATATCATGAGGCCAGCCAACAGCAGGTGTCATATGTGTGCAGAGAGCCCTGCTTTCTGCTCCCTGTTGCATAGAAGCCCTCAAACTAGGCGTATTGGTGTGAATGAGGGTGCAGGTATATCCCATACTCCAAACCTGTCTTCCTTATCACCAGCTACCCTGTGGTCTGCTATATGAATAAAATATACTTGCACAGAGGTGGCCATGGCCTGCAAATAATAATAATAATAATAATAATAATTTTATTATTTATACCTCGCCCATTTGGCTAGGTTTCCCTAGCCACTCTGTGCAACTTACAACATATATAAGGAATATGTCCCCTTGACCATAATACTCTGCTGGTGGTGTAAGGAAGGCTCCAGCTCATTTGCTTCTGGACTAATCAGTGCTGCCCAAAAGCAAAGGGAGTGTTCATTAATTAATGCAAATCATTTTCTTGCATTTTGAAAGGAAAGCTATTGAAGCTATTAAAGACTGGCATTAGTTATGCTGCTGGGTGGGAATCAGCAGTCTAGTCTTGTGAGTTGACCTTTTAAATTGCTTTGCATAATTTTAGGCTATTCAATACAGAGCCTGCTAGTAAAAGATGACAAGCCACTTAATGGCTAATGAGAATAACTGGCTCACCAACTTTTATTAGACAGTGGCTGGAGACTACCAGTTTTTCCTGTAACAAATGCTGTGTTCTGTGGGGAGGTGTGAACAGCAATGAACTAGGCAGTTTTAAAGAACTGGTTACACAGTGGCTGCAATGCCCCTTCTATACTGGCCCTCTTCAGACAACCAATTTTCTCTTCACTGAAGTCTCCTGATTAAAGAGCAGGACTCTATCCTTTAATGAGAGAAAATGGATGATGGTGATGGCACAAAGGCACATGGGAAGGTTGTTGAGAGCAGATTTTTGGACCTTGTGATTCATAAATCTAGAAAAACTTATTTTGAAGGGCTGAAAACCATAACATTGGAAAGCTTCTCAACAGGTGATCTAATCTAAACCTCCATCAGTGCAGGAAATTCCCAACTCCAGATTCCTGGCTATGTGGCCATCCAGACCTTGCCATTGTGATACCCCATAAAGGAAGATCTTCCAAGTGTGAAGGTAGGTGGAGTCCATGCTACAAGGGAGAAATGAATGCCAACTTTCACCCTTCCTGTTATGTAAAAAAAAGCTGAGACATCTGTCTGCACTGGAAGAAACTTGCTTCTGAGTAAACATACATAGGATTGCATGGTTAAGATTCCCCCCCCCCCCGTCATTGTACTTTCCCATAAACAGCTGAAATCCATGGAAAACCTAGGCAGGCCATAAGGAGCGCCATTAGTAGTGTTAGGGGCAAGGGCAGCTGCAGAAAAGGGGCACGAAAAATAAAAATCGCACAGCCAAGAACAACCTGCATGGTAAGCAACAAGCTTAGAAAGCAAATTTGTCCAATACACACCTGCACGGTCCACACCAGTCCATTTGTTGGTTGAGACCAAAGCGAGCTCTGCATTTCTTAGGAGAAGCAGGATCTGAGGAAGGAGCATGCGTGGTGGAGAATGGGCAAGGCAGAGGCACAAACAGCAAGAGCAGGAGGAAGAGGAAGAAGAAAAGATGCAGCATCAATTTAGCAGCTGGAGACAAAACTAAACAGGCCACATCAACCCAGTTTCTGCTGGAAGCAGCATCTCTTTGGGAAACAAAGCAGGTTTAGGCAAATACCAAAACTAACCTCACACAGGAGGGCCAAGAATGCAGTGACTGGGAGAACAGCGGCATTAGCTACCCCTCCCAGTTTGGTGTCATTTGCAAATTTGACGAGCAACCCCTCTATCCCAGTCATTTATAAAGATGTTGAACATCAACAAGCCCAGGACAGAAGTGCAGCACCCCACTTGTCACCTTTTCCCAGAAAGATGAGGAACCATGACTGAGAACTCTTTGGGTTCGGTCAGTCAACCAGCTGCAAATCTACCTAACAGCTATCTCACCCAACCCACATCTTACCGGCTTCCTCGCAAGAATATCATGGGGGACTTAGTCAAAAGCCTTGCTGAAATCAAGATACGCTGTGTCCACAGCATTCCCCTTATCCACCAAGCTTGTAACTCCATAAAAAAAATAAAAAACTAGTATTGCATGACTTGCTTTTGAGAAATCCATGCTGGGTCTTAGTAATCCCCGCATCCTTTTCTAAGTGCTCACAGACTGACTGTTAAATTATCTGTTCTAGGACATTCCTGGTATTGTCAAGGTGACTGGCTAGTAGTTACCTGGGCCTTCTTTTTTCCACTTTTTGAAGATGGGGGCCAACATTTGCCCACCTCTAGTCCACAGGGACGTCACCTGTTCTATCTGTAGCTAGCTGTTCCCTTACCATCTCTTCTCCTATCCAAAGCACTGCCTGTGCAGTTGGTCTTTCTCCCACTCTGTGTGCCCCCTAACTTTGTTCTAGGAGCTCCCCTCAATCCTGTGGAGCAGATTTGGGGAGAGTGTGCATGGGGGCGGGGGCTTGTATTTCACAAGTGGAAATGCTTGCGCTGATGAGATGTTTTAGCCTGATAGCACCCAAAGATACAGTTCAGATGTATAAGACTGTGGGTTAGGATTCTGCCTGCCCTAGAAATCTAGCTTATGGCAAAATAGTCCCTTCTTGGATAGCAGGTTAAGAATTTGCTACTGTACTGCATTTTAAAGACCTTTTGCTTTCTGCATCTTTGCAGAGAACTAGGCGATTGGGAAACTACAACGGTAACAACCACAAAAGTTAATGGCAAGAGAAGGGGCTAAATTTGATGTGTCAAAATGCAACTAGGAATGAGCTGAATAGTATTCCTTTTCTCATGTCAGAGGAGAGCAGACAGGAGAGACAATTGCAGATAGCAGCAAAGCTAGAAGAAATAGCGGTTAGGTCTCATATGAAAATGAAACACAGATTAAAGTTTATAAGCACAGATAGCAACCCAGTCTACAGATGAAATGGAGGTAGTATTAGCATAGATATGGATTACCCCAGTCACATTAAGCCACAGATGCAAATCCAAAGGAAGATTATAGCTATTGTTCAGCTGCCTCAACTAATCCCCTACCAATATAAACAAAGCGTTGGTTACCAGATAATGTACTGGAGTTTGCACCAGTGGATTTACCTGAGTTGGAGTCTTGCTGTTTTTCTCTTGTTCGTCTTTTCTTTTTCCCCTAGAATCAAAGAGAGAGAGAAAAGGGAGGGAGGGAGAACACAAATCATAAGTGAACAAATACAGGGATATCTTTCCAGAGGGAATAAGGGGGTTGTGGCCAAGGCTCCTACTTTCATCCCTTTCAACCTGCCTGCTTCATTTCTGATCACCATGGATTCTTGCTAATCTAGACCCCTTGTATGGTGTGCAATTGGCAATTGCAGGTAGCACCCTCCCCCTAGTGGTCAAAACGTGCTCTACAGGCAGTCAGGGACATGTTGTTTAAAAGGTACATCATTTTTACACAAATGCTTCTTCACACTGAAAAAACCACAAATGAGATGGATCCACCTATTGCTTTAAACTCTTAATTCAGAAGTAACCCCTCATTAACTCATACTGCAGCATTCTGCCCAGCCGGCTGAGAGTGGCACCAGCTTGGTAGAGCTTTTGACAGTTTGCCATTACCAGACCTACATCTTGCAAGCAACAGTTTAGCTGATTTGGGAGAGGAGCCCCTGGGACCTATAGATGTAAAAGGAGGAAAAGCTACGATTACAGTTAAAAGCAAGAAACCTCTCTCTGTGTGTACACATACATACATACATACACCCTTCCCAACATCAGTTAGTTTTGGATGTTACTTGGGAACTCTCCACCCCCCCGAGACTGGTTAGCTATTTATTATGGCTACTTTTTACATCAACAATTCATGTGCTTTATGCTGTGGCTGAAATTAACATATGCTAAAGGCAGATTGCAAATATAAAAAAAGAGGTCAAAATAGAGAGCATTGGCAGGCCAGGGACCGTCCCCATTAATGGCCCCATACTGTTGGTTTATTCATTAAAATTTTTTTATGCCATCCTTTACAGTACACAAAAACAAAAAATCTCAAACTGCACTCTTGCTCATTGTCTCTGATAAAATACTTCTCTCAGGTATTATGGTCCCTGACCATTGCTGGAACAAATTGGTATGAATCCAGCCCCCTTTCCATGCCTACCTGCACATAGATTGTCTCTGGCTTACATTTTGAAATACCGGAAAGACTGCCACTCTTCCCCACAGCTAGGATATATTGAGCTCGTAGATGAGGATTGTGCCACAGTCTTTCCTGTGTCCCAAACAGAAAAAAGTGTGCTGCCACCTTGGTGCAATGACCTGGGTTAAGGAGCGAACCTAACTTTCTTTATGCACACACACCAGCCATCTGAACAAAGAGCAGCTGCATTCTGTGCATATGTGAAGGAATGTATTTCCAGCAAAAGGTTGCTGTGCATGGGTGGAATAAAGTGGACAGTGATCTCATTTTCAGCAGGCTTGCAGCCTACACAAGTTACTTTATCAATGAAAAAGTTCTTTAAAAATATCTTTTAAGCGGGGGGAGAAATTGGACCGTATTTCAGGAACAGCACATGGAACATCATAGTTAAAAATGAGCTTTGGTCACCAAAGCAACTTTCCTTGAATGAAGAATAATGTCAAAGTAACTATTACAAATAAAAGTGAGATAAACCTAAGGTCTGTTTTTTGTTATTCACCTCTTTCTTGCACCAGCATTTGTGATGTCTTCATGCTAGCCTCAGATTTTTCGTGGGTACAGAAACTGCACTCACTAGCAGCTTGAAAAGTGCATAGTATTTGCAAGCTTGGGCAGCCCAGTCCCAGTCCTATTTCACTCAGAAGAAAGTCCCTCAAGAGGACACACTCGCTGTTGTAAACATGTTGAGGACTGCAGCTTTTTTGTTTTCACTTCCAGAGACGAGATTGCAAACATGGAGCACAACAAAGCCTTTTCCATTTTAAGTTCAAACAGTGTTTAAACATGTTTGTCATTAGCAAGGCACAAAAACCGCTTCGCTGATGAAAGCAGGCAAAATCAAACCAGATTGTCTTTCCTTACACTCCTCTCCATATAGTATTGATTTTGCTTGCATTGGGAGGCCTACATTATTACGCAGCTGCCCAACACTACAATTAAAACATAATGCTGGTGGCAGTTACTGTCTTACAAGCTCTGTGCCAGCGTCGGCTGTAAGATGGAAACATGTTTTAAATCCATGCGTATGGTTTTGAGAAACTGTCTTGAGTTGCCACATACTGTTTTTGGACTGCCTCTCCAATGCTGAAAAATCAATTCCAACATTCTAAGACTGCTAGCGATGGTATCCTTATGGACATTTCCCACTGGAATGGCCATGGGGTTTTGCATATCTGAATGCTTCCCTACATCAAATGTTGCGGCACATGGAAAGCTAGCATGACAAGGAACAAGGCTCTAGCCAAGCGTTCTCTCTGATGTATGAGCTTTCTACTTGCATTTGATTTTTTATGTGCTCCTCCACTGGCCTCGAGTTCTAAAGATGGCACGGCACATTATGCTCTAACCTGAAAGCCCAACTGCTGCTTCTCCTGTGCAAACCGGGCTAGAGGGCACCATTTGCAATAGAGAAGCTTTGGGCAGGAGAAGAGCACTTCATCCTTCCTTTCCTTGCCAGCTATCTTCTTCAGCTGCCCCTTAGCTGCAGCTGCTTTCTCCCATTTCCAGGCTCAGGACACACGTTTGCAAGCAGAAACACTGGACAGGGCAAAAGCAGCTTGCTGAGTTGCAGAGGAAAACAGACTAGTGGAAAGTTAAACACCTTCCTCCTTCCAGAGCTGCTCTGTTGCAAATTGCGCCCCTCATTCTTTGCACAGGAGAAGAGGAAGATAAAAAGCCAAGTCAGAGCTTGATGTCCTGCACCAAATAACAGGCTTAAGGAGGCCTTGACTGTTGGCTGCAGTCAAGGAAGACGGCGCATCGAGCTGTTTCTCCTGTGGGAACATAGGAAGCTGCCTTATACAGTACTGAGTCAGACTGTCTGCACCGACTCAGCAGCTCTGCAGGATTTGAGACAGGTGGTCTCTCCCAGCCCTTCCTAGAGTTGCCAGGGATTGAATCTGGGACCGCCTGCATTCAAAGAAGGTGCTCTGCCACTGAGCCACGACACTTCCCCTAAGAAAAGCTCAGGTCCTCCTGCCACCAGTCACCAAGAAGAACCAAAAGCCAGATTTCTAGCTGCTTTACCAGCTGCTTCCACTAGAAAGCATCATCTACCAGTAGGCGAGAGGGGAACCAGTACCAGCCTCTCCCATTAGCCTTTTGGATTAACACAACAATTACACTGTTCACTATTGCTCTCCCTGGGGACAGGGTGGGCTACAAAACATGCATGACTGTGACAGCCTGAATAAGTTACTAGGATGGGGGAAGGCAGAAGACCTATGGATAGACTTCTGGAGAGCCCCTTCAGGCTTCCTCCCAGTTTGGCTGAGGCAATTCAGTTAAGGAAGGGGGTTAGAATGCATGGGCTGTCACCTTAGTGCACAAGCTGACTAGCAAAAGCCACAGGTAAGACAAAATCCTGGCATGGACAGTAGTATCTTAAGAGAGGCAATATGTATGTGCAAGACATACAAAGCTTCACAACCCATGATCATTACCAGATGCTGGGGACAAACAAGGGGACGGGCACTACCTTCATGCCTTGCTTGTGGGTTTCCTGGAAGGCTCTGCCTGGCCACTGCTGGAAACTAAGATGCTCAACCAGATGGACCTTTGTTGGTTGGATCCAGAAAGAGCAACCCCATTGCTATTAAAAAATATATTTGTGCAATGACACCTCAAATCAGTAGAGTCTGCATTGTTTCCTTGTGGGATGCAAACAACCCAGCCTTTGTCTACTTTGCTGCATCCGATTCAAATTTAAATAAAATAATGTCCGCAGCATTTGCAGCTCAGAAGGCTGATTGTGTTCAAAATGAAATTGCCACTGAAAAAAAAAAATCTTGGTGGTCACCTTTGACCATGTGCAAGGCCAATACGTTCCAGGTCATGGATGCATGGTTTTTACTGCTTTTAAAGGAAAGCCACACTGTCCAACCTGCAAACCCTCAATTTATTCTGTTCTGTGCAAGCATTTTCCCGAAACCAATGCTCCCAAGGGCAATGGTTTGTTTTTGAAGCTGATCAGACATTAACGACCTATTTGCCTAAAAAAAGGAAAGTGCTGTCATGAAGCGTCCACTCGCTTCACTGATGCACAAGCTCGCCACAAGCACACATAGCCCACTGATTGTTCCCCTTCAACTCAACAAATTCCACAGCCAATGAGCAATTCTATGGCCATGGAAAAGCTCAGGGCTCCTGGAATTCTGCAGCCAACGCTGGGTTAGGTGGATGCATGAGTGGCAGATGGTTACAGACTCTCACTGCCGTAATGCAGAAGGACATTCGCTGCAGAATTCGCTTACCCTTGCCGCAGAAACCGGCCCCGAGGTGCTGCTGAATTCCAGGGGCCCTGAGTTAAACTTTGTGTGATCACGGGACGAAGAGCCTGAAGAAGACTGAAGAGCAAGGGGGAAAGCGTTAAAAGAGCAGCTGCGGGGACCACTGAAACAATGCACCAAATACGTACACAAAGCACATCAGGAAGCAGATAGAAAAACAACCTAGCAGAGAGCCTATACAGAGAACAGCACCCCAACCCGGCTAATTACGGTAAAACAAGTCATTTGTGCAGCTGAAAAGGAACCTTGGAAACTATAAGCACCTCGAGTCACAAAATCGCAGATGAATTTTGAAGGCCTTGGAGGGAGGGAGCATACATACATTTATTTTCTTTTTTTAACCATTGGGTATTTGCTATTTTGGGTCACATCTGTTGTAAAAAATAGTAACAGTACTGTGGGTTTACAGACAGAATAGTTGTAGCCAGCTAGCAGGTCATCCCTGCTTAGTCTTCACACACCATGAAGCACCTCTTGAAAATCCTGCGGGTACTTAGGAGGGGCCAAAACACACACCAAACCTCAAGTGGGCCACATCCAGCAGTGCACTTCTGGGAAGGGCTTTTGATCCAGCAGAAGATTTTTGCTAATGGAAAAGTAGAATTTTTGCTGATTTCCCCTGCAGCCTCCTCAGTGTCACTCCCTGCTCCCATTCTAGAAGGAGGTGAAGGAGGCATCAACACATTAAGGGCTCATCCACACTTCCACTAGAAAGCACAGGTTGTAGCGGTTTCCCCCTTGCCCCACTCCTTTCCTAGGGGAAACCTGCTCTTTTTATTTAAATTGGATCGAGTGTGGCCATGCACAGCTGCAGTTCATGTGCAGGATTTCCCTGTGGATTGTGAATCCCATGTTGATTCCCCCACCCTCTGCTGTGCTTGGCACATTTTCCATCAGGTTGTTTTATCTCCAGAGGACTTGGAAAGTCTTCTGCTGACCAACCCTTTTAGTGAACATCACTTTTTAATAACATATAGAAAGAGTACTGGGAAATGATGCCCTTATATTTGTTCTTAATAAAACTCTACATTTTGGGACTTTAATATTTCTTTACTTAAAAAAAAACACACACACACAAAAACAAAACACAAAGCAGCAGCCTAACAGAAATGTCTTCAAATAAGATGCGTCAATGGAGAGCTATTAGGAAAGGGTATTAGAAAAGTAGCCATAGCAACACAAGAGCAAGAGACCACACATTAATTAAGGAAGCCTTTTTGCAAAAGACTTAAGACATCTACGCTGGCGTTTTCAGTGAGTGGAATCCAACGTCGCATGAAGAGATGTCTGCTAATGCCGCTGAACTTTGTCTTCCTCTCTTCCCCCCTGCAGCCCCCTATGAACCCTCAAAATCTGGCTGGAACATCCCCATGGGTTACAGAACCAATTTGAGGGTGTGTAGAGGGCTGCAGGGGGAAGGAAATGAAGGTGAAGTTTCGTCACACATGCAGAAGTCTGTTCAATTTGCACATGGACAGAGTTAGATGCAACCCTGTTATTTCACCCCTATGTCCAGGGGTGCCAACTTGAATAAAATACATGGGAAGAACAGGTAAGTGTTTGCCTTTGACCGATTAATATTCTACAGCCTTTAAAATGTGCCTGTGGGAAGTGGGGGTTAATATTTTGCTCTTTTGTTTTACTTATTTACTTGCTTTTTATCCTGTATTTTATTCTGTGAACTGCCCTGAGATCTTATGCTGAAAGGCAGTATATAAATCCAATCAATCAATCAATCAATCAATCAATCAATCAATCAATCACATGATGCAGTGCATGCACACTACTTGAATGGCAACGCCCATCAACTTTGGGGCAAGTAGTTGGCTCCTTTGCACGTGTCTGTTGTTTTCCTCAGCAATTATTAAAGAAATGCCACTCAGTCCTTTCATTGGTTCATTCACCGAATATGTGTCATCCTTTGCTTTCTCATGAGTTGCCATCACAAGCTTTGTGAACAAAGCTGGCTTGGGAGTCATAGTTGCTGGTGGGGTTGCTGTTTTAGACCTGCAAACGTTTAAATGCAACTCCTTGTACTCTGCGTAAAGGTAGAAAAGCTCCTAAGTGTGGGAGTGAATTCATTTCCTGTCTGACAAGTCATATGACGGCAAGCTGACCTAAATTCTTCCTTCTCCTCCTCCTCCCTTCAGGGATAGAGCTTAACAGTCAGTGTGGGCAGGGTGGCAGAGAGATTCCCAAAGCAGCTGCTTCCTGGCTTCCAGCATATCACAATAAGCACATTTGGACCTGGGCCTAGTCTACTCCTAAGCCTTCCCATGGACTGTTCATTTGACAGGGGAGGGAAACATGCAGTGCCTAGGAGTCAGCCAGTCACTTTCACAAACTGATTTCCTTATATTAAGCCAGCCCACATCACTGGTCTTGTTGCTCCGAGGCAGAACACTCAGTCCTTCCAGGTTAAATACTTTAACTCAGGGTCCCCCAACCTTGTTATGGCTGTGGATTCTCCAATATATGTTTGAGAAATTGCCATGGGTGCCATTGCAAAACGGGCATTCGCTGATGTTTTGCCGCTGCAACAAAGCAGCTCCCCAAAGCCATAGAAGATAAAGTGGCGAATCTCAGCAACAAAGCAACTTGCTCAAGAAACCTGAGTACAAGGTGGCAATCCTATGCATGCATAAAGGTAAAGGGACCATTAGGTCCAGTCGTGGCCGACTCTGGGGTTGCGGCACTCATCTCGCTTTATTGGCCAAGGGAGCCGGCGTACAGTTTCCGGGTCATGTGGCCAGCATGACCAAGCCGCTTCTGGCAAACTAGAGCAGTGCACGGAAATGCCGTTTACCTTCCCACCGGAGCGGTACCTATTTATCTACTTGCACTTTGACGTGCTTTCGAACTGCTAGGTTGGCAGGAGCAGGGACCGAGCAATGGGAGATCACCCCGTCGCAGGGATTTGAACTGCCGACCTTCTGATCGGCAAGTCCTAGGCTCTGTGGTCTAACCCACAGGGCCACCCACATGCATACAGGTGAGTAAATTCCATTGAATTTTGTCCCCTTTGTCCCATATTTCACTTTGTAGTCTTTCCCAACTCTGCTAGCTGAGAAGCTTCAACTGAACATATCTAGAGTCGGACCTGAAAGTTTTCCCATGCAAAAGTTCTTGCATGTGGCCACTTGACCTATGGGCCCCGCCAGATATCCTTGTAATTGCACATTCATGTTAGGGTGGCCATACGCAAATGTCTGCAAAAGTTTTGGGGGAGTAATATTATGTTGGAAGCCACACAGAGTAGTTCGGGCAACCCAGTCAGATGGATGGGGTATAAAAAATTAACAACAACAACAACAACAACAACGATGATGATGGTGCTTCATTTTCAATCAGTGCATATCCTGTAACTTCCTGCTGAAATCAAATAACTTTCCATAGCATGAATATTCTGGGTTTCTTTTTTTAAATCCCACTTTTGCTGCACTGTATACGGTCCCTTCCAGACAGCAATAATGGGACGGAATTGCAGAACAAGGAAAGCATAATAAATCTACTGTAATCAACACATAGAATAATATACCCAAAATATAACACCAGTCTAGAGGATCTCTTTGATCACCTCTCCTCTTATCCCTGGGATGAGGATTTGGGATCCCAAGCAATACACCACTACTTCACGGGCATTTTAAGGTGAACACTTAAAGGGTAATATGTTGGCCAAACTAGATGATACAAGGTAGATGTGTCTTTCAAAAATGAAAAGCAAACAGGTGAAGCTGAGCAGAGGGCCATCTATTACCTGCAAACAGGCTCCCTCCAGTGGCAAAAAAATAAAAACAACAGAGAATGGGGCCAGGTTGTTGCCCAACGCTTACTCTCTGCCAGTTCCCAGAGCAGGCTATTTATAAATAAGTCTAAATAGGGAATGGTGAAAAAGTTGAAAGGAAACATCCTAGAAGAAAACCATCTGGCTAAAACACTTGAGGAAACGATATGCAAAATCCTCATTTTACATTTAGCTGGATGATTCCAGGCTAAGCTAGTTGCATATCTGCATGGAGGAAAAGATTTGAGTTCAGAAATTCTGGGGGACCCTGAGCAGATCTCTGGGTGATTTGCAATCGCTGGAGCAAGGATTTCTGACTCTCAATTATTTAACAGCAACCTGACTTTTGCCACCTAAATCCGGCTGCTGAAGTAAAGAAAGCTAACTGTGTGGGTGGACTTCTGCGCAAAAGGAAATGTGAACCTGGTTCACTTCTGGCACTGAAAACAAATTCCTAGGCTCAGAAAGTGCTCAGAAGAACCCTGTTCTTTAAGGCTAACTATATGTTTCTTGCACAGTAGCCTCCAAGCACCAGAGATCTTCCCAACCTTGCTCTAGGCTCACATGCTGTGAAACTACCACCCATGTTGGCATGCACCTGATAGGAAGAGAATGATGCACAGGAGCCAAGGGCCATAGCTCCGTGATAGAGCATCTGCTTGCATGCAGGTCTCTGGTTTGGTTTCCAGCACCTCCAGGTAGACCTTGGAGAGACCCTTCCTCGCCTGCTGGTGTAGGCAATACTGAGCAAGATGGACCAGTGGTCCGACTCAGTATAAGACAGCCGCCTATGTAAATTTGGTGACATGCTGCGCTTGTGCAGGAAGTTGGGATGTAGAGCTACCTGACAATGGAGCACAAACTGCGTTTGTGGGGTGCTGAGTCTACAGGAAAGATGCATGCTGACAGCTCTGCCCAGCCGACTACAGTGGTACCTCGGGTTAAGTACTTAATTCGTTCTGGAGGTCCATTCTTAACCTGAAACTGTTCTTAACCTGAAGCACCACTTTAGCTAATGGGGCCTCCTGCTGCCGCTGCGCTGCCGCTGCAAAATTTCTGTTCTCATCCTGAAGCAAAGTTCTTAACCCGAGGTACTATTTCTGGGTTAGCAGAGTCTGTAACCTGAAGCGTATGTAACCTGAAGCGTATGTAACCCGAGGTACCACTGTACAGGCTTTTAAGCACTGCAGCTGCACTCTGGGGTGGAAAAGCAGCTCACAGAGTTGGCACATAAATAAATAAATAATAAATAAATAAATAAATAAAATAATAATAATAATAATAATAATAATAATAATAATAATAATATGATTTATTTATACCCTGTCCATCTGGCTAGGCCTCTCCAGCCACTCTGGGCAGCTCCCAACAGAATATTATTATTAGTAATAATAAAAAGTGGTAAAACATCAAACATTAAAAACTTCCCTAAATGTATACAGGGCTCATTGATGGGCACATGCCCCATAAGTGCATGTTCATGTGCATTGACAAGTCACGAGGAGGGTGTGGGAAGCCCTCTCTTAAAAAATTTAAAATTTCAACGCTGCCAACAAGGCATGCATCAATGAAAGCAACTTGGATGAACCTCTTTTAATGAGATATAAGTTCTCACATATGGGTTTTTTTTTGGGGGGGGGACAGACAGGAAATACAGTTGCAAACTGCAACTTCCTTTCCCAACTGCCTCTCAGATTTAAAGCAAAGAAGTGTTGGCCTGGCAGGACCACCAGAAACAGGTAAAGGCAGAGTGGTGTAGTGGTTAGAGTGCTGAGTCTATGACCCGAGAGACCAGGGATTAAATCTCCATCTTCTGCCACTAAGCTCACTGGGTGTGAACTTGGGCCAGTCGCCAACTCCCAGCCCAAACTACCTCAAAGGGTTGTTGTGAGGGTAATATGGAAACGGAGAGCCACGTATACATCACTTTGAATTCCTTGGAGGAGAGGTGGGATACAAATTTGATAAATATATGATAGAATGGAGGCAAATCAATGAACTGTAGAGTTCAAAGAAGCTTGGATGATGCTGGGTTCACTCAGACAGCCTCCTAAACCTCCAAGATCTTTAGCACACGTTTCAGAAAGGGAAGGGAACTATCAAATTTGAAGTATTTGCTTCAGTTCAGCTGTCAGCTGACATTTGGGCAGTTGTCAGGGGCTCAGGGACTGAGCCACAGGAGAAGGAGGAGATGGAGAGCGAAGGGGAACAATCGGAGGGGAGCGCAGGAGGGTGTGACAGTGACCAGGGAGATTCCTTGAGTCTCTCCAGCGAATCAGAAGATTCCCAGAAGGAGGCCCCCAGGGTCAGGGCAAGGGGGGCCAGTGGGGAGTCGCCAAGCGGCAGCTGGAAATCAGGGGTAGCTTCCCCACCAGAGCGCAGCGGGGGGGGGGGGGAGAATCCCACAGATTGGAACAAAAGCCTCCTCCTGCAGGAGGAGGGAGTGAGGCAGAACTGACCACGCCTCCGTCAGAGAGTGGAGGGGCGGAGGAGAGAGCAGGGCCGTCCAGCCTCCTGGAAGGAGAAAGCAGTGAAGGGAGCAGTGTAGCCGTTAGGAGGAAAGTGGGCGGCTGCGCGCGCGCGCCAAGTTCAAATGTAGAAGCGCGAGGGACAGCAGAAAATCCGGATTGGGAGCCAGGTCCCAAAGCCCGCCGGAGACAGGGGGAGGAGTCAGAAGAATCCGCCTCCGAAGAGTCCAGGAGAGTTGGGATCCCAGAGGGCAGGAGGACCCGGAGGCGTAAAGAGCAGAGGGAGGAAAGGAAGAGGTGGAGCAAAGCTCGGGTATTGAACTGGTGTAAAGGAGGGGCGGATTCAGACGGGACTTCGCCGGTCTAAGGACTCAGACGTAGCGCTGCGCGCCACGGATGTCAAACCAACAATGAACCACAATAAAGACTTTTGTTTATAAAGAGCAACTGGCGTTGGTCCTTTGTGAGCTGGGACCTGAGGCAGCCGCTGACAGCAGTATTTGCCTTCTTTAAATCCTGGGCTTTTGTCACCTTCCATGGATGAGCTCAGAAGAAGCAATGGAAGCAAACAGGACCTAGCAATGTGAACCTGGCAAATGCAAAATGCAGAGTCAGCATGAGCCAAAAGCAAACGCGGCACATGATGTTGGGGCAAGCCGTGATCAAGATGGATCGAGCAATATTAATCTCTCGCCAGGTAAGTGTATGATCATGTCAAACAAAAGTTAAGTATGACATATTACCTAAGAGAGAATACGTGTTTATTTGCATTGATATAATTAAGAGCTCTAAGACAAATATGGGTGTGGTTGTTATTATTATTAGCTGCGAGTCTCTTCTCTCTGCATTTTAATTTCTCTTGAGGGCCTTTTTTCTGATGACCATAAATCTAGTGCAAGCTCATATAAATTAAAAAGAAACCACTGCTTATTACCTCACAGCTTTCCTGCCTATTTCGCACTGTGAGCACCTGGAGACAGACGATAGGAAAGTGGGTATTACCATGGAACTTCTAAACAGGGAGCGCAAACCCTCAAACTAAAGAGTCTCCACAGTGTAAACAGATAAATTACTAGTTATGAAACAGACCCTTAATATGCTAAGTTTCAATCAAACAAGAAACTGAATATATTGGAGTCACACCTCATTAGCAGTTGTTGCATTTTGATTCCTTCGGCCAGCTCCAGATGTTGGACATTTGCCAGGGGCTCAAGCCCAACGTGGAGGAGACCACTGCCCAGACAGTACTACCTTTCCCACTTTGCAAAGAGTATCCAAAAAGATCCGATGCAGCATTAAGAGAACTCTCAGTTTTTATGTGCTGCCTCTTCAGGGTTAAGGCGGCTTACTGATGGCTGCATGGCTCAGGACCCTCATATCCTGAAACCAACACTATTTAATATGATGATAATAATAAAAACCATATTTTCCCACTACTATCTTGCCTACTACAATTTAAAGAAGGGCAAAAAGTGGAGGGGGAGAAAGAGATCAGAGGTTAAAAGTTTAGGAGAAATACGTTTTTGGATGTTGTGTTTAGCTAGCAAGGAGGGAGGCATACAGAGCACAAGGGCCTCTGAGATCCATAGAAAGAGGGGAAGCAAAGAAGAAGAAGAAGAGTTTGGACTTGATATCCCACCTTTCGCTCCCCTTCAGGAGTCTCAAAGCGGCTCACAATCTCCTTTCCCTTCCTCCCTCACAACAAACACTCTGTGAGGTGAGTGGGGCTGAGAGACTTCAGAGAAGTGTGACTGGCCCAAGGTCACCCAGCAGCTGCATGTGGAGGAGCGGAGACGCAAACCTGGTTCACCAGATTATGAGAGTACCGCTCTTAACCACTACACCACACAGGCGCAGGAAAGACGGAGGCAGAAGCACTAACGCAGGGTTGGGGAAGCTGAGGCCCTCTGGATATGGTTGGACTCCCAACTCCCATCTGCCACCAGGCATTCTTATTTCTCCCCTTCCAATATATATATTTATTTTGTTTTATTTATTAAATTTATATACCACCCTTCATCCAAATATCACAGGGCAGTTTACATATATAATCACTTTAGCCATCCAAACTAACAGTGAGCAAACACAGATACTCACAGTCACTCTCTATGTAGATATTAATATCAGCTATCATCTGGGCTAAAAAGAGCTGCTGAATAACAGCTACAGCACGGCAATGTTCAATCTGCTGGAAATATTGTGATGTATTATAGTTTACTAAATTAACCCCCTAAACCCAGTAGTTTCAGAAGAGTTTACTGCAGGGACCCTCCAGCAGTGACAGAACTACATTTTGGGGGCCCTGAGCCTTGAACTGTCATGGGGGCCCCTTTGCCAGCAGCAACAAGGTCTGAGTAAGTCCTGTTATCGTTTTCAATGGGGTTGTTCCGTGACAGATCACCACACCTTTATAACACCTGTGCTACCAACTCTCAAACTTTGGGATGGTTGAAATACAGACAATAAAAACAACCATTTTGAGTCATGCCACTCAAATTGGGTCTACTAGACCCATAAATCAATGTGGACTCTGGGCCCCCTCCAGGATTAGGGGCCTGGAACCTAAGCTTCATTAGTTTCATAGTAGATCCACTCCTGCCCTCCAGTTAAATTTGTATCTCTATTGGTTCCTTTGAACACCTGGGTGCTAGTCTGGGAAATAGTGTGGTGACCTCCTTAAGATCGGTAGGGGTTTTCCCAACTCTTTTCTTTCTAACTGAAGTGCCTAGATCTTGGTGTCTGTGTACATCAAAAGCAGTTTGTAATGCAGTGTGGGAAACTGATGTTAAAGTAGGGGAGAAGAGCCAGCAGCCCCACCAAACATCCAGAAGCCTAAAAGTGAAAACCTCTCAGCATTGTTGGCTGCCTTGCGTCTAATGTCAACCTGACCATCTATCTATATATGTATGTTTAATGTCCCTGTGACTTATCTGATCTAACCCTTTGGGAATTGCTTCTCTGAATTTGTGTCATCTGCAAACTATCCGTGAGACCAATTGCTGTAAACCATTAACCGCAAAAGAAATCCTCTTCAGGGATTTGACCTGGAGCCCTGTGGGCTAAAGTGCGTGTGGTGGGAGTGGCACATGGCTTCTCCCCCCCCCCTCCAAATCTGATCTTCACTTGTGTACTGCGAAAGTCTGAAGGTTTTTTTTTTTAAAAAACGAGTGCATAAGCTTACAAGCTTCTCTGATCCTGGAAATCCTGATAAGGCATTTGCCCAAGCACACTTGCAAAGCTCCTTTCAGACCTCCATCCCAAACAAGTGAAGATCAGGCATGGAGGGGCTGTGCATGACGCCCATGCTCCCAGTTCCCCATCCCACTTTTGCGATGCTTGTGCCCCCTTCCCACTTTAGCCCCTCTCATGCCCAGGCTGAATGTCTGGAAAGGGACACAGTTTGAAAGGCAACATCAAAACTTCATGGACATATGATTCTTTGGAGGCCACCAGAGACCCAGAGTACTCACGTAGTTATCTCTTGCAGACCAGCCGGGGTAGAGCTGCATGTGGAGCTGCCTTTCCTTGCGGGCCAGTTCATAGTACTTGGCTTGTTCCTCCCGTGACAGCGCGTGCCACTGAAACAGAAACCACAGAAAGCCGTGAGACACCAAGAGACACCATTCCTCTGATCAGAAAAGAGCAAATGCTAAGAGTGGATACCACACATCAGGCTTGGGGAACCTTCGACCCTGCAGATGTTGCTGAACTGCACCTCCCACCAGCTCCAATGGCTAGGGATGATGGGAGGTGTGGCTAGCAGGACCTGGAGGGCCGAAGGTTCCCCAGGTCTGCCACATATGGAAACAGTGCTGAGGCAGCTCACAACCACTTCTGAGAGGACCGGCAAAACCACCCTGAATCGGAAAACAGAAAGTTTCTGGAATTTTGGAAGGCAAGGGAATAATTTAATAAAGTTTCCATTGGTATCAATGGGAAATCTTTAATGTTTGTAGCCATACCAAGTGGTGGTAGTGATGGTGGTGGAGATTTTCAGGTGGGTTGCAGCTGGGGAGAGTAGATAAAGCTCCCCTCCCTATGCACTGCAGACAATTACCTGCCCCACCCCCAGAACCTTTAATCAACTAAAAAAATGCTAGATGCTAAGCTGCCTGCTACATAGTAAGCAAAGACTTAGTTTGGTCCTTATACATCATTACTCTAGTCACTGTAATGTAGTTGCACACAGCTCTCTGTTTTTATTCAAATAGACCGCTGTGTGCAGGGAGCAGGAAGCCTTTGCCATATAACCAGAAAGCAACAGTCTCTTATTTCTAGACATGAATGATGAAGCATTTTGACTGCTCAAGTAGGACAAAACTGTTTTGGGAAAATGGAGAAGCCCACATTGGACTAAACAACCATTTCTTTTTGTGGGTTTTCTCCTCCTTTGGCTTCTACAGAACAAACAAAAGTACAGGAAAAACCAGGTCTTTACTGTCAAAATTTAAAATCAGAGTTATAATGTAGAGTTCTTGGGATTAAATTTAAAGTTGTGTGGCTCAGTGGTTTGTGCTCACAGAAACAAGGGGAAGTTGTATGCCAAGGTTAAGGGGGGGGAGGAGTCCAGTAAATCCACTGATCATGAACTTGGGGAACCCAGAGTCAAAGCCTTGCTCAACCATAGACTCACTGAGTGGTCACTGGTAGGTCCCAAGGCCTCACTCAAAAGTTCCGCACTTACACGGTGAAAATAACTGGGACTTGTCTCACATGGTTTTGCAGACGAGTGCTTTGTGAAGTGAAAAGCACTTTACATGTTAGAAGTAATCCAGAAACAATTTTGGAGTCTTAGCTGAAAACATATTGCTGCAACTTAAATTTCCTGACAACACAGCAGCCTTGGAAAACCCCAATAATAAAATGAATTATGCTCAGTGACGTGAGGAGTGGCATACAGTCTGCCACAGGGGGCAGCGGGCTGGCAAAAGACAATAAAACACAAAGCAAGGCGTTGAAGGCTTTCCTTGGCAGTTCCTACAGCAACGCAAGGTTCCTTAAGACAACCTATGAAATTCATTATAGTGGATCTTGAAGCCCACATAAATGCACTCAGTGGAGGACAGTTAGGCTATCTAGGGAGGAGGTGGAGTAAAAGCATGGAGGCCTTGGGTCCCTAAGTTTCTGCTGACCCTTTCAGATTCTGCTGCAAGTCTGTAATAGAGTCTGCCAGGCCACTACAACTAAGAGAGTGGTTTCAAAACCATTAATGAGTATCCTAAAGAAAAGAAATACCCTGCATGGGCCACAATCACCAGTCCCAGCTTCACTCGAGCCCAGCTTCACCCACACACCCCATTAACCTCCTTGCTAAGCATGGTTACCCTAACAACAGCATAGCAGCCCATCCACAGTGCTGCAGGAACCTGCAGCTAATTCAGCTTGCAAATGGCCATTTGGGAATCTACATCACCAAGCATGAAAGGCCAGCCATCTTCCACCATCTTTCCCAACCCAGTGGAGTTGGGTCTGTATTTGCTCTTCAGGAGGCTGGATGAAGCCTGTGTTCAGATCCTGCTTGTAGGCTTCCCACAGACATCAGGCTGGGTGCTGTGAGAACAATATAGTGGACTTGATAGGCCTGATCTTCTAGTCAAGGCTCTCTCCATGTTCTTAAACCATGGATCCAAAAAGTCCACAGCCTCTGGAAGTACTGAAGATGCATTTGCTAGCGCATATCCATGACGCCTCCCTAGTCATCAGAACAGCCCCACCTCCTTTTTGTGCTCTTACCCGCCTTCCTAATATCTGATTGATGGCTGCACTTTCTTTCAAGGTGCACTCAGCAATGACTGTCCCCCGCATCTCTTTCATATACAGCATGAAAGCGTTCAGAGGCTTCTTGATGGTAGGCTTCTTGGCTTCCTTCTCTCTCTTTGGTTCTGGTTGTGATTTCCTTGCCGGAAACAGGAAAAAACAGCAACCGGTTAGTAAAAAAGAACTGAGGGGTAACTGGAAATCTTGGCTGCTGGGAAAAGACTAAAATCCATGAGCCAAAACTTAGATTTAAATATATATATATATTAACAGTAAAATACAGACTCCAGCAATGGCCTAGTTGCTACCATTGGAGACACAATGCTGGACTCTGTACAATCTCTGATCTGATTCAGCACAGACAGATATTACCCGTGATTTATTAAATGTGAGGCAAAACCCACTGCATTTACAGTTCCAATTTGAAGAACAGTAAATGGTCTGCATCTGGGCTGGGGACCTCTGTGGTCCTCCAGGTGTTGTTGGATTCCAACTTCCATCAGCCCCAGCCCACATTCTCAATGGTCAGGGGTGATGGCACAGGAACCCAGAAACATTTGAAGGGCATCAGTTCCCCCACCCTCATCGAAACAGGCCTTGGGGCAGGGGGAAGAAGAGTGGCTGAGAGAGGCGTGAAATGTCATCCTCCTAGCTATCTTTTCCCCACTGGAAGTGGCACCATACTGGCTCTGCTTTGCCAAGGAGAAGCAGCTTCAAAAAGGTGCAAAATGGATGCGGAATTATATCGTTCCAGCCTAACCTTTTCCCCAAGAACTGGTCACTTACATGCTCCGGTCGTAATGGTCAAACTCTTGTTTCCCAGAGGGAGATGTGATACCCGGGTGCGGGATTCCTGTGGTGTGCATTCCAGAGCCGAGCATCAAGGGATGTGTGATCCTGTAACATAAAGCATGTTTGTGACTGCCTGGGCTTTTAAACAGATTACAGACCTCCTGGGTTTCATACTGCAGTTGGACTCATTCTAAATAAATGAGAGAGAGAGGACCACCTTTAAGAATGCTCAGTAGACAGTTTGATATTAAAACGGAAGGGTTGCATATTCAATGACAATTCCAAAAAACACCCAGCAGCAGAAACATGGTGGATGGGTTTCTAAAAGCTTACGCAGCTGCAAAAGGTCTGTAGCATGGATCCTTAGTTATATTCTGTGGAGCTGCCACATTCTGGAACAGGGCCATTGAATTAAGACAGGCAACACTGGGACATTTAGCAATGGCAATCCTACCTAATGATTTGTTTTTCAAGTGTTTGGAAGACAGAGGTTTGCCCACTAGGTGGCACTCTTTGAATTTTTCCTTCTATATTCATAGTAGCAACTGAGCAGGAGCCCATTAACTGAGTACAATTTACATGTGAAGTAGCTCTCTGACATCCATTTGCATTATCCTAGGTCATCCTGACATTCTGTAGTAGCAGCAGCAGCAGTAATAATAATAATAATTTATAATTTATACCCCACCCACCTGGCTGGGTTTCTGTAAGTGAAGCATTCTTCCTGAACTATAATAACACCCAAGAGTGCTGCATCGCAGCTCTTGACGAAGCTGATGGCAATGCCAAGCCTGACTTAGTATTTTCTCCTCATCGGGCCTGCAGTTAAATAGAGGCTACAAGACTTAATTTGGTGTGTGATTAAACTTAAAGAGCTGTACTTAACTGTTCTCAGCGCGCACACCAGTTTTCAGTTTCAAAGAGTGGGCATTTTGCACTGGCTTTTGGCTGCATATGTTTGGTTTGGGGCTGTCTTGCCCAAGTAATCCATGGTCCTAGTGACACTGTGAAGTGTGGCTAAGCCCATTTCAGGTTAGGCCTTGGGCAAAATTTTCATACCAACTGCTTTGCAAAAACAATATGGAATTAAGCCATTGGTCCATCTAGCTCAGTATCATCTGCTCTGATTGGCCATGGCTCTCCAGGGTTTCAGGCAGGGTTCTCTCACAGCCATATCTGGAGATACCAATCATTGAAGCAGATGCCCTCTCACTAAGCCTAACCGTGTGATCTAGCACCTCACGTTGGATATTCAGATCTCACTTGTTGACACTGTATTGTTAGGGCTGTAACATAAACATTATGGCCGTCTCCAGGCCTCATTGCCTCCCTGGAGCAATTCTGAGCACAATGGGACCTGGGAGGGTAAAGCCAATGCTATCATTGCGATCATAACACAGCTACTTAAGATTAATAGTTTATACACCCTTCATCAGGCCTGTAAAATATTTTCAGCACTGGAGAATGATGCTGTCAGTTTACCAAGCTTCATGACTGAAGCTTGAGACAGCAGGATTGCCCATGGGAGACAACCAACTGTTCATTAGCTCTGTTGGCACAAAAAGAAATGATGCTTGATTTTAATCTACTGGCATGACTTGAAGCTTGATCATTATCTGCCGAGGTGTGTGTTCTTGTCTGCGAAACCTGTAAAGTGGGAATGCCGGTATGATGAAGAATGAAACTGTCAGGCAACCAAGGAGGTCTGCAGAGTCATTTATCTTAAATATTAAGATGCTTAGACTGGAGTAGTTGCCTCCGGCAGGCTGAAAATTAAGGTAATAACAATAATACTATCGTCCTCATCATAATCAAGTGACTTTTCGACTACTGTTCCTAAAGCAAATCCCATGATGTCTTCATCAAGAGACATACTGAGCACTCTCATTAAGACTACACAGAGTAGAAGCCAAAGCTAGAGAGATGCCCAGCCAAGTGGTCCGTCTATCTATCTGTCTATCTATCTATCTATCATATCTATCATATCTATCTATCTATCTATCTATCTATCTATCTATCTATCTATCTATCTATCTATCATCTATCTATCTATCTATCTATCATCTATCTATCTATCATCTATCTATCTCTATCATCTATCTTTCTATCTATCTATCTATTTATCTATCTATCTATCTATCTATCATCTATCTATCTATCATCTATATCATCTATCTATCTATCTATCTATCTATCATCTATCTATCTATCTATCATCTATCATCTATCTATCTATCTATCATCTCTCTCTCTCTCTCTCTCTCTCTCTCTCACACACACACACACACACACACACACTCCCCATAGGTTAAAGCTCATCCCTGTCGGACCTTCTCAAGACAGACAAGGAAGATGGAAGTTGGCTTCAGATCCTTCTAATGAATTCTTGAACAACTCACAACCAGCATCTGGATTGGTAGTGCAGATCTGGAGGGGCAATGGGCAATTTGTGTTCCCTTATGGAGGCAGGTCTAAGTTTTTTAAAGTGTTGCATGGGGGGCACTGCAGCACACAGTCCTGCCACCACAAAAGGAACAGCCTGACAAAAGCAAATATTTGGTTTGTATCGTGGTACATTGATGCTTCTAGTTTACTGCCATCCTCAGCTGTTGTAAATTGCCATACATTCCCAGGTTACCAAAGCCAGCAATCTTAAGCCAAGTGAGGGCTCTTGTCAGGGGCCATACAAGGAATTAACTGAACAAGGAGGACATTGGCAGGCATCTGCCTTGCACTCAAGTAGAGCATGATGCATGGAGGAAAGCTGACAGTGGACTCAAGTAGTGGAGTGAGGTAGGAATGAGAACCTGACCTGATGGTTTGAATTTATCAGGTTCTCTGTCCCAAACAAGACCAATTTCTACTTTTGTTAGCTGAAGATGACGACCATTGCAGAGGTAGTAATAAGGGTACCCATTATGTTCTGTAGTATTATGAAGTGACACCACAAGGGGAGCCTTATGCTGGAGACAGACAACAGCGTTGTTGGTTCTTTTGAGAGTTGAAAGCAAAAAGGGACACCATTGCTTGCAATGTGTGTGCTCATCCTTCTTACCAGGCCTGATAAATAACTTTTGCAAAGTTTTGTATTGTTGTTGTTTATTTAAAAAAAAATCTGGGGAGGAAGAACTGTTTAACCACAGACAACAATAGAACAAAAGAAATGGGTGTGCACCATGAGAGGTGAAACCTTTCGTCAAAGCACTTGCAAACTCTATTTTTTGTCTCCAGCCACATAAGACTAAGAGACATACTGACGTTTGAGGCTGCAGTGGTGGTGCTCACATGAAGACGGACTTTACAGCATCTTCATGAGGGTTCTCTCTCTCCACCCCCTACTACTGTTGACCAAAGCCAAAATTGTGTTACTCCTTTTTGAGAGCGTGCTAAGTTTGTGTGTTGTTTTAAAGCATTATTATTTTAAAAAGCCACCTGCCTAAAACAGGAGAGTCCCTTCCCTGTTGCTGCCACCCAGAAGCCTCCCTAAGTGCTGCAAGCTTGAACGGCGTGGACTGCAAAAGAAGCAGAGCGATTTTGTCCTGACTTAGGCAGCTCATACTTACCTAGAGAAAGAAGCCCCAGCAGTGAGCGCTGACGTATAGGGCTGTCTAAATCCACATGACTGGAAAGGACAGACAGGCTGGCTCTGCCTGGGATCAGGAAGAAAGAGTCCATAAAGCATCTATATCGGTGCCACCTTTCCTGCATACCCTTTTCCCAAGTGGACTCGTCACGGACTTGTATTTTTGGGAAAAGGAGAAGCCTCCTGTTGTACATTGGCTTCTGTCCCAATGGGGAGGTGAGGTGAGGTGAGCTTCAGCTGGAGGTGGGTCTAAACAGGTCTACAGGAAAGTTCCACTAATGCCACATTAAAACCCTACCTGTGCTTATTATACTCCCAGCTCTGCAACATTGCTAAAGAACTAGGCCTCGATCCAAGTTGATTTGCACACAAGCTTCTTGACGCACCCTCCCTATAGCCCTAAAAGGGTGACATTTCAAATCCTACTGCATGTCGATTCCAAATGCTTTCTCCTTAGCTGTAATTGAAGCAGGAACCTTTGGGTTTGGAGTGCTGTTGGTGGCATTGCTTACTCTTGATTCTGTACCTTAGTCCCTAAAAGCTGTTGCAGGGTGAAGATGAGCAGGATCAGCATGAGTGGCACAGCTGGAAGACTGAGTGGAGTTCAATCTCCCACAATAGTTTGTGCTTGCTCTTTGATCTATGCCCTTGCTCCCCTCGAGGCTTAGTGCTAAGGCCTGGGTAGTCCTCTCTGTATCAATATTAATAGGCATATTACAGTGGCTGTTGAGTTCTGAGTCAGTAGGTTCAAATCACACTTGAACTCATTAGGTGAACTTAAGACAACTCTCTGCTCCTTCTCCCTAAGCCTGAATAATAATAATAATAATAATAATAATAATAATAATAATAATAGAGGCCTACTTGACAGGCTGAACAGAGGGATCAATGACATATGCAACACTTTAAATCTCCTAAGTATTATTACTATTCCTACTAATTCATTACTTGCTTAAAAACTTGCAACCCAAGCAACATTGCTGCAAACTTAGGAGCACATGTAAAAATATGCCAAACACTAGCCAAGTGCTACAACAGGAAGCAGGCTTTTGAAGTTTCAACATTTGGGCCTTGGAGATGAGCACACAGTTTAATTCTGAAGTGACATTTATTATTCCATAGGCCAAGATTCCCCAAGAAAAGAAATGGTCATAGCCAAGGAAGTTTTTCATCAATGTGAACCCGACATGGAAATTATTTCAACTGGAAAATCAATCCACGATTCTGACTATTCAGAATGAAAGTGCTTTTTTTGTATGTGTCTTTATGTGTGTGCTTTTTAAAAAAAACCCTGTGAAAGTAGAATGGAAATATTTATTTACTTAAGTTATTTCAAAACCAGCATGAGGCATCAAGTTAAATTGTTGCCTACGTAGCTCATATTGTGCAGCTGACACCATTTACAAGGCTTTTTAGGGAAGGTGTGTTTGCAGCTAAGCTTCAGTGAACAAGCTCACCAGACTGGACTGCAAGTCATTTTTATTTGAGGTTCTTGACTTGTCATTCCACCTAATTAAAGGGAGACTTATTACAGGGCCTCTTCCCCAAAATACTTGGCAGGTACAAAGGACATTCCTGCCGAACTCTTTCTTGCTAAGGAAAAGCTGCTTCCTGCATTCAGACCCCTTTGTGTTTGAAGTCAGCCTCATTCCAGATCAGTGAACGTTCAGAGCCATTCACATACCACAGTGCTTGTTACTGGCAGATGGGGGCTCTGAAGTCTTCCTCCTCCTCCACAATTAATTTCAGCACTGCTAACGCTGCCAAACCTCTGCAAAGCATGGTGTGGAGAGACCAAGTAACAAAACACCCCCCCACCACCCCTGGATGTATTATTGGAGGGGCAACAGTTGCACTTGCTTGCAGACAGCTCAGTGTATGCAAATGGAAAAAGATCGCATACAGTATATAGGCCGGGAAACATTTAAACTGCAAATTTGGAGAAGCCAAGTAAATATAAAATCCCCGAGAACAAGTTTTTAACTAAGTGCTTATATCTTACTGAGCTTGCAGACAAATTAAGCCACACCTAACTTTCTTAGAGCTCTATGCAATGACTGCAATCCAAAGATAAACTTGCACCAGAGCTTTATAGGGTCACAAAGTGTACTTCTGCGTAAGCATCTCCAGTACACCCACATGCAAATGGTACTGTGCATACATTGTGGGATTTTCCACTGCACGCTGATGCACCAGGAGTTCATAGCCAAGTGCTGCAATCCAGCAAGCTCTGGGGAATGCTATCATAACATCTTTATGATTTACATATGGGTTTCCTCAACGTTTTTATAGGTATTTGAATTTTGTACAGGAATTTCGCTGCATTTAGGAATGTCAATATGAGTTGAAGAGTGCAAAGTCATGGCCATATCGGGGCTCCCTGTTGCGCATTTAGGGACACAGCTGGGTTGTCATTTTTTACGTATGCTGTGAGAAACAAAAACCGGTGGTGTACTATCAGCAAACACAATTTCTGCATAAAGCATGAAATTGGTCTGACTCTGCTGTGCACCTAGGTTTGGAGAAGAGAGATAGACCCTTTCCTGATATGCTGTGAGTCCCATTCCTGCTGCAGTGTTGCTGGTTTTTTAAAACAGAAAGATGTAAATGAAGACACACATTTAATGTAACATGTAGCCTGGCGCATGGTCAGATACAAAGGAATTTTCTACATATGTGCAGGCCTCTGGATTCCAGCACCAGTGCAACTGGAAGAAAAACTGGGCTTCCTCTAGATGCAACTTTTTGATGGAAACAGACATTGCATTGAAAATGGAGAAATACTTGGTGCTGGCTATGAGGAGAAATTGCTAATGGAAATTTCTGCCTCCTGATCTCTTTAATCCCTTACTAAAAATCTGGCTGTCTGATCACTAGTGGTTAAAGTTGGCAAGAGGGGATAATAGAAAGTAAAAGCATGAAGATGCTGCCCGATCAAGCAACAAACCAATATTAGTATCAGTATCAGCTTTGCTTTCTAGAAGCAGGGTTTGTGCCTTACATACTTCCTGTCTGTCTTTTCTGCGGACACCCTTCCAAGCCGACAGAAAAATAACTCAGAGGTCTTCCTATCCTCTCCAAATTACTTTATTCCTTTTAAACAGTAGTTAATCATCGCCCAAATTATAGCAAGTCTAGGACAGATACAATGTTAAACATAAAACATCTAAAGAACCAACCAACCAACCAACCAACCAACCAACCAACCATAAAGCCTGAAGCCTCAGGTGCCTCTTCTTTGTGAATAAATATATAGAACATCATTTGGTAGTCAAATATTGTATTGTATTGCTTTGTGATGTGTTTTATTGCATCTCCCTTAGGTGATGTACTTAACATGCCTGTGCCACAGTTATGGCAGAAATTCCTATCTGCATACTGCTAAGGATGGGTGAATCTGCAAATGATGGTTTCTTTCCATTTCTCATTCTTCCAATCTTAAGTTTAGTTCTCCAATATCAGTTTGCACATTTTGTGTGTGTGTGTGTGTTTGTTTTAAAAAATCTTTGTGGAAATTCACTAACATTTTAGTGTGAATTTCTCCCAAGATGCACATGTTTATATGCAGTTTTACATTTTTGCAAAACAGTATTGCTGAACATAATGCATCTTTGTAGGTTACTTTCACTAACATGTGCATTTTTATGCACAATTTGTCCCAGTACATTCATTTTTGCACACATTACTTGGCTGGAGAACTACAGAGCAAAATTCAGAAAAGCACAAATTTTGAAGGCTGTCTTTAGATTTCGGTATCGTTTTGGAAAACACAAATTAGTTAGGTTCACGTTTAAATGCAAACTGAACCAAATATCTCCCCCATCTCTACAGAGTGCGTTCAGCTGATATGCAGGAACTTTGCTCTCTATTATTATTATTTGTAGTAGTAGTAGTAGTAGTAGTAATATTCTGGCAACCTCTTCAGTTCAGAAATGGTGGGTTGAAGTTTCTACAATTCCACATTGTCATGCATTGCACAGTTCTACCAACGCCTGCTGCATCACGTAAGTGAATTAAAACATGGAAGGGGTGGGGAGAGGTCTACTTATGGTTGAATGTGTGTTGAATGCCTTTGTCTCCTCAGCTTCTGGCCTAAATATACAGCCATGAAATGGAGAAAATGCTGTCCATCTTCATTTAAAAGACTCTGCCACAGATTGCATTTTCCCTCTCTCTTGCATTTTTACCAGGACCCACACTGGATTACCATTAATCCATAGTAAGAAGGGAAAGGCCATCTGTAGAAACATATGTTTTAGGGACCGAATTTAACAACAGCATTTCTTCAATAACTCAGGTATGCACATGCCCGTGGTGAGAAGAAAGCAAATTCTATGACCTACCACGCTCTTCCTTGTTATTGGCATTTCAGAATGGCAGCATGGGGCTGAACAAGAGATTCTAGGCCAAGGGTCAACACAACAGTCCTTGATCAAAGTAGGAGAGCAGGAGAGAGAACCAATATCTTGCTCAAAATCTTTTCCCCCCACACCTAGACCAGTGCCAAGAACTAATTGTGGTGCCAGGGAAAAGTATACTGAAGTGTGTACATATACAGTTTCAGGTGTTGTGGAGAATGGTTGGTGTTGCCCAGGTAGCCCAATTTGGACAAACTTCCCTCAATTATAGGTATTTAATACTTACCATCCCATAGAAGGTGTTATCTGTCCAACTCCACTAGGAGGGAGGGAATAGAAACCAGAAATGTCTGATGTTTGAGAAGGACGGTGTACACCTGGCAGAAAATCGAAACATTAGGAAGTTTAGACGAAGCAATTTCTAGCTTTCTTTTAAGTAGCATTAACCTGGCTAAAATGGACATGGTTCAAAGGTTCAGTATTTCTTAGCATCCAATAATCAGAATTGGTTAACTTACTTTGTCTCTCCCTTGTCCCCCATTTCTGGACTTAATAAATATCCTTAGGCTTTCCTATCTATTAAGATTCTCTTCAACAGAATACTGCAATCAGACAATCAAGGTACAGCACTGATGGGGTGAGGAGTACAGGAAGTGAGTGGGACAAAAGTATCTGGAGTACGCAAAAGATGAAGTTGGTGCGGCGTAGTCAGCCAAGGTAGGGCACCGAAGGAGGTGGCAAGTACAGGAAATGAGTGGGACAAAAGCACATGGAGTAGAGACAAGATAAAGCTGGTGTAATGCAGCAGAAAAGATTTGAGTTGGGGAGTCCTCAGTTCAAAATCTCACCTCAGCCACCCACAACCTCAAAAGATGGCCTTGGGCCAGCCTTCTCAGCCTCATCCCCAAACCCCTATCTATAATAGAGGGATGGCAATGTGGGCCTACACCACAATGCTGCGGGAAGCATGGCAGAGATAATATATGTGAAGTACTTTGAATGCGGTATGTAACTTCTAAGTATTATCATCAAAGTACAAAAAAACCCAACCACCACCAAGTTAAGTCACCGGTTTTCATATGTGGGCTTGGAAAGGTAATTTACTCACGAATGAGTGGATGGTCATTAGAAGGAGCATGAGTGTGGGAGAAAAGGGGTGGGGAAAGGATTTCATTCTTTCTTCTCAATTCACCCAGTGCACATCAGTTTGCTAAAACAAACTATAAAGGTAAAGGTACCCCTGCCCGTACGGGCCAGTCTTGACAGACTCTAGGGTTGTGCGCCCATCTCACTCAAGAGGCCGGGGGCCAGCGCTGTCCAGAGACACTTCCGGGTCACGTGGCCAGCGTGACATCGCAGCTCTGGCGAGCCAGAGCCGCACACGGAAACGCCGTTTACCTTCCCGCTAATAAGCGGTCCCTATTTATCTACTTGCACCCGGAGGTGCTTTCGAACTGCTAGGTTGGCAGGTGCTGGGCCCGAGCAACGGGAGCGCACCCCGCCGCGGGGATTTGAACCGCCGACCTTTCGATCGGCAAGCCCTAGGCGCTGAGGCTTTTACCCACAGCGCCACCCGCATCCCAAAAACAAACTATATGTCTCACTTAATTCTTCTTCCTCCTTTAGGACCTTAGTTTCTTGGTTTCTGCTGCTTCTGTTTAGCACACCAGTTTGTTGACCAACTGGGGTATGTTAGTTCCTAGAGAAGTTTTTTTCTCCCTTCCACCCCAACTTTCTATAGTTTAAAATATATCTATGTTAATTACCAACAAGAGACAGAATCTTAAATAGAATGAGCACTATCGCGACATTAGGTTGCATTCTTATTGTGTTTGGAAAAAGTGTATGCTGCTTCTTTCTGACTGCAGGTTATGTTTAGCACCCCCACCCCCCAGGGTGGCTGAATGGCCTTCACGGAATAATAATCTTTTAGGTGATATGGAAATTCCACCACATGTGTTTGATCTGTGGTGGTGGTTTCACGTATGAAAGTCATTGCTTGATATCACAAACACTGTATACACGAACCTGTGTGCAGGGTGAAAAGAGAACAAACTATGCAGGTGGTGGCAGTGGTTGTAACTACCTGAGAGACAGCCCTCTGTGGCCTCCAGCCAATGTTACAATATCACACAACTGCTTAGAAATCCAAAGCAGTATGGGATGTGGTAATACTCATTCAATCATAAGCAGAGCCTCCTGCTTCCATTCTCCATCTGTAAAGATGGGCAGTTACACTTTGGTCACATCCAGAAGGACGCTTCAGATTACGCTTCCCACTTCAGGGCAACGTACTTCCAACATGGTGATGTTCCTTTATGGAAGTGTTCCCATTGGCTTCTCACATGAGTAAAAATCACGAAATCAGAAACAAGTGGTAAGCCTCATCAAAATTCCCACGTTGCAATTTTAATCGCTGACAGGAATGACCAGCCTTAATTATTTTTTCCAGTCTGTAAAAATGAATTAAGACAGCTCCTTTCTCTCACATAAGCTGCCTCATCATAAACTTAAGGATGCTGTGGATCTGCTGTGGCGCATGTCCAATCCATGAGAGTCCTTAAGCCATGGGCTTTCTACAGTCAGTCACACTGGGAGGCTGTCAGCAGCCACAGCAACAAGCTTAACTTCAAGCCAGCCCATGCAACAGGGGAGCTTTCCATCCTCAGGGTAGACTTGTGTTATGGCTTTTTATTCTAAGAATAAGTCTCTTGAGGTGCACTCACAGAGACTTTCAAAGCCTCTTCAAAAGTCATGGGACTTATTCTGTGGGTATGTTCAAGGACAGCTGGATATAAGGTACTTTGTGTTATATTCCCTGAAGAGCCAAGCAAGATTTGAACTATCCTCATTCACCACTTCCTGCCAGACTTCAATATTTGCCCTTAGCTAAGCTTCTTGTAGGTTATAATTCGTTAACTCTTTTTATTCTTCTGTTTTAGGTTTAATTTTCTCTGAATGCTGGTGGGCAATTTTAGATCCAAGAGACTAGATGTGTAGAGAACATGTTCAGTTTGTAGGGAGCAGGAGAATGAAAAGTCTTCTGAGCCCAGGTCAAACATTCTCAACATTTTCTGGGGTCTAAAGTGCAGCAGAATAATTCTCTAAGGGGCTTAAGATAGCACATGTGCTAACTTCATGACATTTGCTAAACACACTCCTTAACAGCCTTGGTGTTTGACAGCATGCTTAACCATACAAGGTGCATTGCTTTGCCATTGCTTAGGAGCTTGAGTAGGGTGTGTGTGGGGGAAATATGCAACTGGTAATCACTACTGTGAAACCATATCCAACTCCAGAAAGCTGTAAGGAGAAATTCTATGAAACAAACAATCTTTACATCTCTCAAGACATGTTTGTTCAGGAATACCCCACTGAGAGTGGATGCAAATGTCTAGGAAGGTCAGGTGGTATAAGTGTAGGAACGTGGAGAACCACCTATTTGAAGGCCAAAGAGCTATGAGTGTAAGAAGTACAGCATCATAATGGCTTGGGAGTGGGCAGATGGGCTGTGTTACAGGATGAGAAACAAGGCTAATAAGAAAGATATGGGCTGCAGCACATAAACTCTACTGGGCCACGAAAATCTCTTGAGCAAAGAGCTTCTGCAGGTGGATGGACCTTACTTTTCTCACACAAGATTCTTATGCTGGGTTGAAATGGGTTTCTGTCGGTGGAAGATCCAAGCCATAATCCCTGTTTATGGAAACTAAAGACAACAGGACTTGGAGCCTACTGTGTGCTATTCCAGGTGCATTCTCCATTGAAATAAACATTTTAGGACTATACCACTTGCCAAAATTGTTTCTGAGACAGAAATTCAGAGTTGAGAATGAACATGCACAGGCCATCAAAAGTACCACAGGTACAAGTGAAAACTGCCCCCTGACGATTCCCACGGGCTTGTGAATCTGGGTAGGTTATGGATTATAAATGAAATGGGATTTTCATGATCATCACCACAATCACCTCATCTTCATTAAGGAATTTCAAATAAGAAATGATACATCTGGATTGTTGCTTGTTTGTGTGTCTGTTCCCAATCTATATAAAAGTACACACTTAAAACTCAGTAATAAAAAGCGCTATCAGAGAGTTAAAGTGAAAGTACCGTATTTTTTGCTCTATAAGACGTACCAAACCACAAGACGCACCTAATTTTTGGAGGAGGAAAACAAGAAAAAAAATATTCTGAATCTCAGAAGCCAGAACAGCAAGAGGGATCGCTGTGCAGTGAAAGCAGCAATCCCTCTTGCTGTTCTGGCTTCTGTGATAGCTGCACAGCCTGCATTTGCTCCATAAGACGCACACACATTTCCCCTTACTTTTTAGGAGGGAAAAAGTGAGTTTTATAGAGCAAAAAATACAGTAGTTCTTAAATGACAAGCAGTAAAGCTGGTAAATGTAAAATCCTGCACATCCTAGCATAACCCATCAGTTTTCCTTTGCCCCATGACAAAGAACTGAAGCAATCAAAATGGTCTTGATTTTTTGTTTTTATAAGGGATGCGGGTGGCGCTGTGGTCCAAACCACAGAGCCTAGGGCTTGCCGATCAGAAGGTCGGCGGTTTGAATCCCCGCGACGGGGTGAGCTCCCATTGATCAGTCCCTGCTGCTGCCAACCTAGCAGTTTGAAAGCACATCAAAGTGCAAGTAGATAAATAGGTACTGCTCCGGTGGGAAGGTAAACGGTATTTCCGTGCACTGCTCTGGTTCGCCAGAAGCGACTTAGTCATGTTGGCCAAATGAGCCAGAAGTTGTATGCCGGCTCCCTTGGCCAGTAAAGCAAGATGAGCGCCGCAACTCCAGAGTCGTTCGCGACTGGACCTAACAGACAGGGGTCCCTTTACCTTTACCTTTAAGGGTAGGAAGTACCTAACAGTTTTGTACCACTGACTGCAATTTCAAGACACAATAAGCCAGGACTCCTGGCTGACCCTATCTTACTGTGAAAGAGCAGCATGCTAGTACGCACAACCTGTTCTTCCTTTGAATGTGTGGATAAAACAAACCAGGAGAGGGTATCTTATTATGATGTGTGAACCCAGGATTCATGAAGTCAACTTTAACCCTGGCTTACATTTCTGTCTTGATTGAGAGTAAGCTCCAGGGTTCACATGCCACGATAACCATATTTAAATATTGTTTTATGTCCCCATTCAAATTCCCCTAAAATGCAGACCAAGAAGGACACTGGCCGTGCTTCCATTCTACAATTCTATGATTCTGTGATAAGCTATCACATTCCAGTTAGCTTTATCTGCATATGAGAAGAAAGGGACAAAACAACAATAAGCTAGGGATCTTAGTTCATCTTGACATGTGAATGTGGCTACTAACTTTTTAAAATATTTTTATTAACACAGAAACAAGGTGCGTATATTCCATAGTTTATGGGATAAATGCTATTATGTGACACTGTGCCCACTACAATATGAGAAAGGAAACAAATTTACTCTGGAAATTTAAAGACAATATTATTATACTGTCATTATTCAGCCAATGGAAGTTGAGCCACAATACATCAAACATCACAGTGGCATATCTCTCTCACTTATTTTGATGGGCTCTTTGAAGAAATATCATGCAGAAACCACTAGGAAAAAATGCTTTTGGTCCCAGTCGTATCTAAATACTCAGCTTAGGCACACCTCGACACTGTGAGCGGGTTGTGAAAGAAAATACCACTAAATGCCAGAAAAGAGTGTGTGACCAAGACCACAACTTGCTCTTGAACCCACATTAATCACTCAGGGCCAAACTTAGATGAGAAGCAGGAGGCCCATGATTAGGATCATACATGTTTTCAGGTTTTATTTCATTTTACTAATTAGCAGCCTCACATGGTTGCCTTGAAGTCTAGGGAAGGGTTCTTCTTTGAGGAAGTGCTTGACCCCTTTCCCCTTCCTGCAATGTCTCCATTCCAAATCATCTAGCAAGCCAATCACCCACCAAGATCAAAGCACATTTGCCTTTGTAAGAAGTATTTTTTTAATCCCAAGGAGGAGGGCAAAAGCAGCAAACTGGAACAATTTTTGAGAGTCAAGTGGCCGGTAGGGAAGGGTTAAGCACCCCTCCTCCTGCTGCTTCTTTGCTCACAAGGGCCCCTGAATGCTGCCCCTAAAAGTAGAAATACATATGCCAGCAGCTTTGGTGCTTGAGAATAGCTTTCAGACATTCATAGGTGATGTGCAAAATGGATGAGGATGGCTGTGAAATACAGTTCAAGGGTGAATATTTGCAGTAATCATTCTGACTTTCATTGATATGGGTAAAGTTTAGTGAGTTGACAATCCTATTATCAGCCTACCTTTTTTTTTTAACCCATAGGTTTTCTAAAATTATTTTCAGACGCCTCCCCTCCTCTCCCCCATTCCCTGCAAAGTAAATAGAGGAAGCTGATAGCATCATGGTTACCTTGTTTCTGGTTGATGTCAGCCGGCAGGTGTGGCGAATGGGAGCCATGGCTGAAATGTTCATTGCTGTATGGGATGAGTGGCGTGAGTGGATGGACACCATGGGACGGCTGCACTACAGGAACCTTGTTGGACTGAAAAATACAAGTCAGAGGAGAGAGGGGCTTGAGTAATTTTAGCCTTTTGAGTTTCACAATTCATGAGGGTGGGGTGACAGAGAGACGGAGGCATCCTAAAATGAACCTTACCGATGGCTAAGTAAGTTTTAAAGTAGCTGTCTATGTCAGAAGCAACACAGGGGCTGTTCCACAGGCAGGACAGAAGCCTTAGAGACAAATACATGAAAGCAAACACTCCAGCCTGGGTATGGCTGCAAGTTCTGAATCCAGGTCTGGCTCTGCTTTTGTTAGCAAGATGGCTGGAATGATAATGAATGGGAAACAGGTCCCATCAAAGGGGAGGATTCACAGGCCCATTTATCATGCCACTCTAATTGTCTAAATGTGCTGTGCTCTTGTGTGAAGCACTGGCTAAAGTCTAGAGATTGTTTCTGTGACATGGTCTTCCCAGATGAAGTGCTTATCTCCATCAGTATATCACAACGTACCACCTTTAGAGTGAGATGTTTTACTTTTACGGAGCTCATGGAACTACAGGCTTTCAGGTGCGTCTTGACAGCTTCTTGGGAAAGTCTCGTCTCACAACTACTGCAATCTTTAAAGCAGGGATGGGGAACCAGTGAGTACTCAGGTACTGTTGGACTCCCATCACCCTTAGTCAGCGTGACTGATGATAACTGTTAATAGGCACTGTAGTTAAGCAACTTCTGGTGGGTGGGATGTCTCCATCCCTGCTTTAAAAGCTTGCAGGCATGTTGCTGAAGTCACTGAACGGGTCTTTCCCATAGAACTCTCTGTAGAGTGATGGCACCATGGAAAGACCCATGTTGTTGCAGGCCTTTAAACACTGCAGCTGACTGTGGGGTTAGGCTATGGAAAAGGAGGACCCATGGCACTACTGCATGGTATCTAGAACACCAGAGTGTGGCAAGCACACATGCACAACCTCTCAAACCCATGCTTTGTGGGCCACATCTGATGGGTCTCAGTTTTAGAGGACCCACTTAGAGGAATTACTTTTGAATGGGGAGTATCCACCAGTGCTTTTATGTGAAGCTACTTCACATTAAGAAATTATTCTTCAGTCTTAGGGTCCGTAAATGCAACATGCAGGCCTTCACTCTGGGAATTTCAGCTCATTCATAAGGAATGTGTCAAACAAGCACACAACATTCAGCTTCTACCTTGCACCTTCCAAAAGGAGGGTGACATGATATAGCAGCTGATTCCTCTAAGGTTATTATTATTATTTAAAAGCAAGAACTGGAAGAGAAGACTAGACCATGAACCGTCAACCCTTTTCTGACAGAGCAAACACAGAGGAGCTTGTTTTAAAAGCAGCATATGAAGAAGCAGTTTTGCTTCTTTCCTGACTGCCTCAAGCATTTCTGCCATTTCATACTTGCCCAGTTTCGCCCACAGTTGCCTTTAAATTGACACTGACTTCACCAGAACTGGAAAAATCAAATTTGTCACTCAGAAACAGAGAAAAAACTCAGAAAATAAACTCATGAGGAATAATAAAGGTAGGATCAGTAGAGGCAGGAACCTCATTCAGTGTTAAAAGTGGAGCATCGCACATGTTCTACATGGAAAAACACTTCAGGAAAGGAAAGGAATGAAGTTGCGATTGATAATGTCACGCATATGTTTTGTGGACTGTACACATGATAAGGAAGAAGTTGGTGCTAATAACTCCTGCTTCTGAGGACCTAACTATATGTTATGGAGTGTATGAAAACTATCTATCGGCATGTCTCCCAGAATATCTCCCCATTCAATTTTATAAAAATAAATATGCAGGGGGACATCATTGCATTTAGTTTTCTGATGCCTTTTGCAAACAGCAGCCAGTGAACTGGAATGGGATAGAGAAATGCTCCCGAGGAAGACATCAGCTGTGCATGTGCTGCCGAAATACACATGTCCCACCATCACTAGAGTTGCCAGGGGTAAGGAGTTAGAGCCCATGGAAAATGCTCTGTTCATTCTGAGATATGCAACCACTGCATGTGCTGCCACCAAATCATACATGATTATCAGGCCACAGCAGATGGTAACACAATGCAACTGTGCCACAACAGAAGCACGGGGGGGGGGGGGAGACAGGAAATAGCCCTATTCTCAGACCTACATTTTATTTATCTAACCAAATCTGTACCCTGCCTAACTGTAAATTAAACCTCTACGCGGCTTTATGGTTAAACATATTTTTAAAAATATAATACGCGCATGTATAGAACGTTACTGAAGAAAGTAAGCAAAGCCACAGAGTAAAGTCAGAAATTTGTATTATGGCAGGGATCCCCCCTGCCATAGAAACTATTGTGGGAACCACTAAATACCAATTTCACATAAGAATAACTGGTGATGCGAAGACGACCTCCCTACAACAAATGAAACAGAGACAAACAAAGGCAGGCAACCCCCTAAACTTCAGTTTTCACATCCCTGCCCCTCCTATTTTTTAAAAGAATGAAATTTAGGGGGTTGTTTTACTTCTGTGAAATGGATGGAATAAAGAGGCCACCTATCAGAGTCCTGTTTGGACTGTGAGCAGCCATATTGAAACCTGGAGTCCTGAGCCTTGCTTCTGAAGTCTAAAGTTGAGAAGGCCAAACTCTGAGCAACTTGGTCAGCCTAGGGAGGCTTTATGCTGCTGCTATTCACATAGGCAATGACTTACACTACTTGCATTCACTTCTGTGCCTCACGAGGTTCAGGTTCAAAGCACAAAGTTCTCCAGAAGTCCCGACATGCTACTGCAGCCACGTGTGCAGCCAGTGCAACCCCATATTTGCTTGTTTGCATCAAAAAAGCTTTTCTATGAAGCTCCCTAACCAGCCAAGTAAAATAGCTGGTTTCTGCCACTGCTGGCTTGGCTTGAGAATACCAAGCACTCTCAGGTCTTTGGCCTTCTGGAGCCGACACTGGGAACTAGCAGCCACCACAACTCTTCCCATTGTACCCAGGGTGCCTCTGGATGGGTGCTTATTCTGGGAATGATTTTTATTTTTTTTAGGGTTCAAAAATGCCATCCCTAACCCCTACCCCGATCACTGCAGATGGTGACAGCAGCCACGAAATTAAAAGACGCCTGCTTCTTGGGAGAAGGGCAATGACAGGCCTAGACAGCATCTTGAGAAGTAGAGACGTCAGCTTGCCAACAAAGGTCCGTATAGTTAAAGCCATGGTTTTCCCAGTAGTGATGTATGGAAGTGAGAGCTGGACCATAAAGAAGGCTGATCGCCGAAGAATTGATGCTTTTGAATTATGGTGCTGGAGAAGACTCTTGAGAGTCCCATGGACTGCAAGAAGATCAAACCTTTCCATTCTGAAGGAAATCAGCCCTGAGTGCTCACTGGAAGGACAGATCGTGAAGCTGAGGCTCCAGTACTTTGGCCACCTCATGAGAAGAGAAGACTCCCTGGAGATGACACTGATGCTGGGAAAGATGGAGGGCACAAGGAGAAGGGGGCGACAGAGGACGAGATGGTTGGATAGTGTTTTCGAGGTTACCAGCATGAGTTTGACCAAACTGCGGGAGGTAGTGGAGGACAGAGGTGCCTGGCATGCTCTGGTCCATGGGGTCACGAAGAGTCGGACACGACTAAACGACTAAACAACAACAACAACCCCTACCCTGTCAAATTCAATTGGGATTTACCATTTACATGCAAAATCTAGTAAGTTTTTAAAAAACCAAACTGTTGCCAATGACCCATTTACAGCGACTCATCTGCAATAGTAAACCCCTGTCTAGCTGCACCCCCAGAGGCAGCAGGCCAGGAGGTGGTTAGGCAAATTAAACATCAGTGGGTATTAAGTGGCTAAATGCTCACTGAACTGCAACCAAGGAGAAAGCATCCCCCAAGCTAGGAATGTGAGCATGATGTTCCTGAAGTGAGAAACGAGGTCTCCCACTTGATTTTATAACTGTTCATACTGTACTCTCAAACATACCAGCCCTATAAAATTAGAGCACTAGTAGTTAATCTCATTGTAGTGAATCGAGCTTAAAAAGCCAGGGCTAGCCCAAGGTTGTCTTTTTTCTTGCTTTCCTAAGAAAACTCTTTATATTCCAAACAGCATAGCAACACATGACATGATGAGCTACCTGTGATACTATGAGCTTATTTGGTTATTTATGCCCGTTGCTTCTTTTCCTTCCCCTTGCCACTTTTTTCCTATGCCACAAACAGCTAATGGACATCAGAAGGCTTCCTACTGTCTCCTCCTGGACAGAAAGGAACATCGACCAGCCAGAGATGCCTTTGTGCACCTCTCCTCCATAAGTGCAAACAGTGGCTTCTCTCCCCAATGCATTATAGAACCAAGACAGGCACCTCTGAAATTGAGTCACCCTGATGATTGCTTAGTTCGCCTCCTTGGTTGGGCCAGCTCCGATTCCAACTGTGAATGCATTTACTCAGAAGTAAGAGCTGGTTAATGCAACACCACCTTTTATGCCTGCACTAGCAATTCCAAATGCTTTTAGGTGTCTATATCTATCATCTATCATCTATATCTATCTATCTCTATCTATCTATCTATCTATCTATCTATCTATCTATCTATCTATCTATCTATCTATCTATCATCTATCTATATCTATCATCTATCTATATCTATCTATCTTTAGATTGTTAGATTTTTACTGCCAAGGAGGGGGAAGGTAATTGTGGATTTTCTGCCTCAAGTACCAAAATAGCTTGAAATTTAACTTGACCTACAGTTCTGCAAAACATCTTGGGCCAGCCCTGCCAACCGTCTGCCAAACATGCATGTACAGTGGTACCTCGGGTTACATCCGCTTCAGGTTACATACGCTTCAGGTTACAGACTCCGCTAACCCAGAAATACTACCTCGGGTTAAGAACTTTGCTTCAGGATGAGAACAGAAATCATGCTCTGGCGGCAGCGGGAGGCCCCATTAGCTAAAGTGGTACCACAGGTTAAGAACAGTTTCAGGGTGTGCCCCAAGAATCTTTGCTGGTTTGCTGCAAAAAGACTAA